AAAAACCCAAAAGTGGAAACAACCCAAATGTCCATTAACTGATGAATGGATAAATCAAATGTGTTCTATCCACACAATGGAATATTATTCAGCAATAAAAAGAAATGAAGCACTGATCCAGGCTACAACGTGGATAAATCTTGAAAATATGATGCTAAGTGAACAAAGGCAATCATAAAAGACCACATAGTGCATGCCTCCATTTATATAAAACGTCCAGAATAGGCAAACCCATAGAAAGTAGATCAGTGGTTGACTGAGGCTGGAGGGAAACGGGGGAAGGAGAGTGACTGTTAATGTGTACAAAGTTTCTTGTTGCAGCAATGACAATGTTTTAAAATTAATTGTGGTGATGATTTCACAACTCTGTGAATATACTAAAAACCTTGTACACCTTAAATGGGTGAACTGAATGGTATGTGAATTATATCTCAGTTAAGCTGTTCTAAAGAAAATAAGTGGAAAGAATGGTTAAAGGTAAAGAGAGTGAGAAGTATTGGAGAAAGGGGGTCAGATGCAGAGAGACCAGCCCCCTAATGACGAGGAGTACAGTCCTGGGGTTTCCCATTTCACCCTCCGCAGGGTCTTGACAGCGAGAACGTGTGGTGGGTCAGAATACTTCCCAGCATCTGCCATCTTGACTCACCCACAGCCAGGCCACACACAGATTCCTGGGCCTATCCCCACGCCTCCCGGGGACAAGAGCCAGGGATCTGTCCTTTTATGGAGCTCTCCCTGGAGGTGGCTCTCCACAGTGACTAAGAGCACAGATTCAGGCATGATACGATCTGGGTTCAAATCCCACCTCTACCACTTACCAACCACATGTGATCTGAGGAGAGTGACTTAATGCCTCAGTTATTTCATCTGTAAAATGGGGATAATAATAGACCCTACTACATAGGATTGTTGAGAAAATTAAATGAACTTATTTTCAAAAGGATTTAGCACAATGGCTGCCCATTGTAAGTGTTCTATGTCATCGTCATCGTCGTCATCATATGGTGCAACAGTTGGGAAATCACTAGGCAAGGACACCATTATTGATCCCGACACTGGGGTCTTCCAGCCAACCTTTTCCAGTGGTCCAAATTTTTTTCTTAGTTTTCTGTCTTGACAAATATTTTGCATTCTTTGTGCATTGTCTCAGAAAAAAAAATATACATATATATACACATATATTTAAATTTGACATTTCATGAGGTATGTCATGGGTTTTACAGATTTCTGGCAGTCTGATCATGTTCCTAACAGTTACCAGAAACATTTTTTCTTCTGGGATATTGGAGGGTGAGGTCCCTCCCTGTCCCCATTTATCTGGCTAAAGTAGAGGTGGAGGATGCAAAGATGGGTATAAATGTGGGCCTTTTCCTCTGTTTCTCTATTACTGTAGATTTAGACCCTTATACCTACATACACACATACGAACACACCATTCAACAAAATAAATAGTAAATATATTAATAATAGCAGCAGTAATAATAATCCCCGTTAACTGAGCACTTACCATGTGGCGGGCACTACGATATGCATTTTATACACATGGTCTCCATTACTCCTCCCACCGCCCCATGAGGCATTGCAGTTCATTGTACGACTGTGCACTAAATATTCTGGTTCTCCTCCAGTGGGAGAATTAGGAGCTAAGGAATCACCAGATGACTTGGTTTTACCAATGAGATGTGGGCAAAAGTGACACCTGTCACTTCCACTGAAGAGCCAGTCCCTGGTTCGCCACTTCTCTTTTCCCTCCGCCATGAGACCAGCGGCATCTCAGCTAGAAGGGGCTTGCTTATCCCAAAGCAGAGACCACGTGGAGCAGAGCCACGGCCAACCTACAGCTGGAGAGTGAGGGAGAACTAAACCTTCGCTGTTGCCAGCCACGGAGAGTTTGGGATGTTTTGTTGTTGCAGCATTACCCACCCTAACCTGACTCACACAGGTGCAACCTTCTCTGTGCCTTCTTCTTCCTCTTTTTTTTTTTTTTGTGAGGAAGATCAGCCCTGAGCTAACATCCACGCTAATCCTCCTCTTTTTGCTGAGGAAGACCGGCTGTGAGCTAACATCCACTGCCAATCCTCCTCCTTTTTTCTTCCCCCAAAGCCCCAGTACATAGTTGCATGTCATAGCTGCACGTCCTTCTAGTTGCTGTACGTGGGACGCGGCCTCAGCATGGCCAGAGAAGCGGTGCGTCAGTGCGCGCCCGGGATCCGAACCTGGGCCGCCAGCAGCGGAGCGTGCGCACTTAGCCGCTAAGCCACGGGGCCGGCCCTGCGCCTTCTCTTTATAGAAAAGAGAGCTGAGGCCCAGGGGTGAAGTCACTGCCAAAGTCTCAGTCAGGATTTGATCCCAGGTCTGCTTGCCTCAGAGCCGCCTCCTCCCGCACCCCCACTCCGCAGAATTATCAGAAGATTGATAAATATTTTACTTCATCTGTTTGGGCCTGATTTTGATAACACCTTCATGGGCACCAAAGCATAGAGATTAAGAGCAAAAGCCCTGGACTCAGAAAAAAAAAAATAGGCAAAATATCCCAAAATGAACCAAATCCATGCAGCTCCACTTGCGATACCGAGACGGAAGTACATGTAGCGTGAAGTGAGTTGATTTCCGGTGAGGAACTCCTTGGTGGCAGAACCAAAGCTTGAATCAAGCCTTGAGCTTGGCATTTGGGAAACTTCCTCAGTATCTTCAGTGGCTTCAGGAAACCACTATCTCCTGAAGCCCCACTTCTCCCCTCCAGCCTTGCTCACAGTACCTGGTGCTCCTGGAGATGCCCAGGGTGCCCCACCTCACACGGTGCTGGTGCCTCACTCACCCAGCAGGCCCTTCCCCATTGACGTCTGTATCCATGTCAAACATCAGGTCCTTCTGTGTGGACTCCTCATCTGACTTTCTGGAATGGAGGGAAGCACAGAGGGAGAAATGGGGGGAGGGGAGAGTGGAAGAGGAATTCTCCAGAGAAACCCAAACTTCTTCACCCAGAGACATGGCAGGGAGACACAGAGGTGCCCCCCGAGTGTCACCCCAAAGGGACCTTCCCCCAGAGCCATGGTCAGAGGGCAGAGGAACTGACCCTGGAGATACCGCAGAGAGCCCCCAAAAGCTCACCTCCCAGAACATGCCCCCAACTTGGGAAGGAAAAGAGAGTAAATAAAGAGGGGAAGCACTGGACAGATTACGCAGAAAGGCGGCCAGAAGTGAGCAGGAAGGAGAAACTGAGCACCCCTCCTGCCAATCTGACCCCAAGGCACTGACCTGAAGTTGATGAGGTTGGTGTAGATGAGTGGGGGGCAAAAGAAGGCGAGAACCAGGGCCCAGATAGGCGTGGTGCTGTCCATCTCCCCCCACCACTTCTGTGTCAGCAGAGACTGTGGGATGTGGGGAGGATTAGGAGTCTGAATCTCCCCATAGCCCCTTCCCGAAGACCCCAGGCAAGGATTGGGCCACAGCTCCAGAGCCCAGAGCAAGCACTCAATGCAAGGACCATAACTATCAGAGGCGGATGAAGGTGGTCAAAGGCGAGGGCCACCTGTCCCAGGTTTTAGCTAATAGAGTTAGACAGCTAACATTTATTAGCACAATATGCCAGATATTGGGCTAAGCACTTTACATAGATTAGCTCACTTAACCCTCACCACCCCCCAGGAGGACAGGTACTAGTATTTTCTCCCTTTTCACAGATGGGGCACAGGATGGTTAAGGAAGGTGAACAAGCTGGAATCCATGTTTAACCACTTTCCAAAGCAAAGGACTCCGGGTAATTATTTGAAAAGGCCATCAAGTCATTCCAACAAGTGAGGGCGGGACTTCCTGTTGGGTAGACAGAACTTCCTGCACAGAGGGCGGGACTCTCTGAGCCCCTGTCAAATTTAGATTAACGATACTGAGAAAGCTTTCAAAACGTCAGGATTGGGAGGATGGGAGAGACTGTGGGGACAAGTAGGGCTTCCCAAAGGATGGGATTTCCTATAGGAAGGGCGGGATTTCCTAAACCAGAGTTTGTCTTTGTCCAGAACACGATGTAATTGTCCACTGAGGTCATTCTACATGTTGACACCTAAAACTGGGACCTCTTCAGGAAGTGGGAAGGACTTCCTGTGTGAGAGGCAGGACTTCCTACTAAGGTCACCAGGAATTCCTGTATCTGGACTAGAACTTTTTAGGAAGGTTGGCTTTCCTGTGGCAGGGAGTGGGGCTTCTTATGGGAAGAGCAGGCTTTCTGGGAGAGGGCTGAGGCTTTGTAGAGGAGGGGTGGTCTCTGGAGGAAAGGCTGATCAAGACCATGGGCTGCCCACAATGGCAAGGGCTCATCCTCCATACTTCCCAGAGTCCAGTTGGGAACTCTTTGGGATGTTGGGGTCTCAGAGGCTCACCTGTATCCCATCCTGGGCAAAGAAGGCACGGGCGTCAGCCTGCATGGCAAGCTGGAAGCAAGTGGCATCCCCCCAGAGCGGGCAGCGTCGGAGGAGCAGGCGAGCGGCCCGTTCCTCACTACTGCGGTAGCACTCGCCAAAGAGGTCTGGGGGCAGAGGATTTATGTGAGACAGAGGGAAAGGAGTGGGAAGACAGGATGAGGGGAGAAATGAGGAGATTGAAGGGGGGAGCAGGGTCATGAAAGGAGGAGTGGGGAGATGCACAACCCCCTTCATGCAGCTCCCTGTCCCGGCCCCCAGGCACCTCTGCCCCACGCACCAACACACAGCCCCTCAAACTTGGCCGCCAGTTCCTTCCTCCGTGCTGCCTCCTCAGCCTCAGTCTCCAGGCGCGCCAGCACTCGGAGCAACAAACAGGCCCCAAGAGCCGAGGCCACAGCATTGGAGCCCTGGAGAAACAGAGAGGGGTCATGGATAGGGTCAGAGCTTGGAGTGAGGTTCACAGAGGGATGAAGTAGGGGGGAAGCCTGTGATCAAGGGAAGGGACGGAGCCAGATGTCAGAAATTAACCAAAGTCATCAGAGGCCAAGGATAAAGTAATGTTTGTAGATGGATCTGGAAGAAACTGGACGTCAGGTGAAAATGTCAGAAGTCAGGTGGTTCAGAGATCAGGGGCTAGGCTGGAGCTAGAATGACATCAGAGGTCACAGACTGGTCAAAAAGCAATTGGAGATGTTGCCTAAAATGGCGGAGTGGAGAACTTCAAAACTCCGTCCCTCCACAAAAGCAACAAACAGGCTGGCAAGAGCTGTCAGAATCAACTTTTTGAGAATTCTGGAATCTAATATAAAACTTACAACAAACAGGAGAATGCTTAATGAGAAATGCTAAATTTCAGTAAAAGAGCACTGTGACATTTTAACTAACCTGCTTACCGTCGCCAACTCCCCAGCTCAGTGGCGGCCTTAGAGGCAACAGCCCACATTCCTGGAGGAGGTTGTTGGTATCAGAGAGAGTAATTCAGATCTTACTCTTAAGTAATTGTGGTTGTGTCTATGGACCTAGCTGGTGGCTCCTTGAAGGAACAGCTCAAGGGCTTGCCTTTGTTTCAGTGGTCTTGGAGCTTCCCAGAGCAGAAGTGGCTTCCCAGGTGGTCTTTGAAAGCATTTAAAGGCAAATGAATTAGCCTTAGCTGCCTGAGGCAAAAGAATAACAGTTGAGGCAAGCAACAGATAGACTGAATGGCTTAGGAGGGAAGTGGCTGGGGCAGGAGATACTTCGGGGAATAAGGGGTTTGAAAATCTCGTTTAGCAGGGAATCTGGAAGACTACACGCATGACCAAGATTGGAAAGGACTAGAGAAAACCCTAAGCTTTCACCTCTGGCTGACTTTTAGGCTCAGCAAAAGCAGGAAGTGAAGGCTAAGGTGGAATTGTAAACAGCCTGCCTAAGTGTTGAAAGATAGCTCCATCACAGAGCCAATCTCCAAACTGGAAGAGTTTTGCCTCCCCCCCCCCCCAGGCATTTAAGGACGGCTCTGTCAAGTCACTAGCTGACTACTTAACTAACAGAACAGGGACTTGAAACCAGTGGCCAGATAGCCATAATGATTATTCTTAATAGTCATGTAGATAAGCAATATATTATCAGATTCCCACTAGGTTCTTTATAGATAACATCTCTGGCTCACGTCACCATGGTATCAGGTGTTTAACTTGTTTTTCCAGGAACTGAGAGTGGACTCCTTGTCCAGTTCAGGCCAGTTGAGACCACCGACCCATCAACTGGGCCTGCACTAATGTCCGAAAGGTCACCCTTTGACATCACGGGAGGCTGAAAACTCCACCCCCAGATCATGCTAATGCCACCACTTTGTGAATATGCGTCCCATGAAGAGCCACAAAGCTCGACTATGCTTGTGCAGATCATCAATTCTCTCACTTCTCCTTACTTCCAATCATCTATCCCCACGCTCCAGACCACCCTGCCCCTCTATCCCATAAATATCCCTAATCCTCATATTTGGGAAGACGGATTTGAGACTTGTTCTCCCATCTCACTTGGCTGCCTTGTGAATAAACCCTTTCTCTGCTGCAAAGCTTGCCGTCCCCATGATTGGCATACTTTGTGGCAGGCAAAAAGAGCCTGGTGTGGTAACAGACTTCAGTGGTCACACATGACAAAGAATACAGACTTTACAAAAATAGCTTAGAAAAGTCACTAAACAAACAAACAGCAGTAACCCATGACAACCAGCAACAACAAATCCTGGAGGGAGGTGCTAAGTTGATTTCCAGATTTGCCATATTATAATACTCAAAATGTTCAGCTTTCAACAAAAAATTATCAGGCATGCAAAGAATCAAGAAAGTATGGCCCACTCACTTATTAAGAAATTAATAGAAACTATTCCTGAGGAATAGCAGACACTGGATTTACTAGACAAAGACTTGAAATCAACTGCCTTAAATGTGTTCAAAAAGCTAAAGGAGGGCCGGCCCCGTGGCTTAACAGTTAAGTGCGTGCACTCCGCTGCTGGCGGCCCGGGTTTGGATCCCAGGCGCACACCAACTCACCGCTTCTCCGGCCATGCTGAGGCCGCGTCCCACATACAGCAACCAGAAGGATGTGCAACTATGACATACAACTATCTACTGGGGCTTTGGGGGAAAAAATAAATAAAATTATAAAAAAAAAAGCTAAAGGAAATCATGGACAAAGAACTAAAGGAAGCCAGGCAAATAATGTCTTGCCAAATAGAGAATATGAATAAAGAGATAGAAATTATAAAAAGGAAACAAATAGAGATTCTGGAGCTGAAAAGTGCAACAACAGAAATGAAAAATTCATTAGAAGGGCTCAACAGCAGCTTTGAGGAGGCAGAATAAAGAACTTGTGAACTTGAAGATAGGTCAGTTGAGATTATCCAGTTTGAAGTGCAGAAAGAAAAAAGAATGAAGAAAAATAAACAGATGCTAAGAGACCTGTGCGACACCAACGCATACCAATATATGCATAATGGGAGTCCCAAAAGAAGAGGACAGAGAGAAAGGAACAGAAAGAATATGTGAAGACACAATGGACTAAAACTTCCCAAATCTGATGAAAGACATGAATCTATACAGCCAAGAAGATCAAGGAACTCCAAGTAGGATAAATTTAAAGAGATCCACATTGAGAAACTTTATAATCAAATTGTTGAGAGCCAAAAACAAAGAGAGAATCTTGAAATCAGCAAGAGAAGTGACTCATCACACACAAGGAATGTCATTAGGATTAACATATATAATATAAGGATGTACACCTGAAATTTATATAATGTTATAAACCAATGTTACCTCAAGAAAAAAATAAATTAAAGAAAGATAAACATGTAGGATTAAATAATTATAATATATATAATAATAATAAAACTATAAAACTCTTAGAAGAAAACATAGGGATAAAACTTTATGACCTTGGATTTGGCAATGGTTACTGAGATATGACACCAAAAGCCCAAGCAACCAAAGAAAAAATAGACAAATTGGACTTCACCAAAACATAAAACTTTTGTGCATCAAAAGACACTATCAACAGAGTGAAAAGACAACCCACAGAAAGGGAGAAAATATTTGCAAATCATCTATCTGATAAGAGATTAATATCCAGAACATATAAAGAACTCTTAGAATTCAACAACAAAAAAGATAAACAAGCCAATTAAAAAATAGGCAAAGAACTTGAACAGACATTTCTCCAAAGGTATATAGATCTTAGGCCAATAAGCACGTGAAAAGATGCTCAACATCACTAATCATTAAGGAAATGCAAATCAAAACCACAGTGACATGCCACTTCACACCCATTAGGATGGCAATTATCAAAAAAAAAAAAAAAACGAAACAGAAAATAACAAGTGTTGGTGAAGATGTGGAGAAATTGGAACACTTGTGCATTGCTGGTGGAAATGTAAAATGGTAGAGCCACTGTAGAAAACAGTATGGTGGTTCCTCAAAAAATTAAATCTAGAATTACCGTATGATGGAGCAATTCCACTGCTAGATGTGTACTCAAAACAATTGAGAGCAGAGACTCAAACAGATATTTGTACAGCAATGTTCATAGCAGTATTATTCACAATAGCAAATGGGTCAAAACAATCCATGTGTCCATCAACAGATGAATGGATAAACAAAATGTAGTATATCCATACAATGGGATATTATTCAACCTTAAAAAGGAAGGATATTCTGACACACGCTACAACACGGACAAGCCTCGAAAACATTACACTAAGTGGAGTCAGCCAGACACAAAAGGACAAATATTTGCAGCCAGACACAAAAGGACAAATATTGTATGATCCCACTTACATGAGGTACCTAGAGTAGTCAAATTCATGGAGTTAGAAAGTACAGTGGTGTTGCCAGGGGCTGGGGGAATGGGGAGTTATTGATTAATGGGTACAGAGTTTCAGTTTAGGATGATGAAAAAGTTCTGGAGATGGTGATGGTGATGGTTGCACAACGACGTGAATGTACTTAATGCCAGTGAACTGTACACTTGAAAATGGTTAAAATGGTAAATTGTACGTTATCTGTATTTTATCACAATAAAAAAAAATAATAACAAATGTTGTTGAGGATGTGGACAAAATGGAATTTTTGTCCCCATAGATTGCTGGTGAGAATGTAAAATGGTGCAGCCACTGTGGAAAACAGTCTGGCAGCTCCTCAAAAAGTTAAATATAGGGCCGGCCCCGTGGCTTAGCGGTTGAGTGTGCGCTCTCCACTACTGGCGGCCTGGGTTCGGATCCTGGGCGCGCACTGGAGCGCTGCTGCTCTGGCCATGCTGGGGCCGCGTCCCACATACAGCAACTGGAAGGATGTGCAATTATGACGTACAACTATCTACTGGGGCTTTGGGGGAAAAAAAAAAGGAGGAGGATTGGCAATAGATGTTAGCTCAGAGCCGGTCTTCCTCAGCAAAAAGAGGAGGATTAGCATGGATGTTAGCTCAGGGCTGATCTTCTTCACACACACACACAAAAAAGTTAAATATAGAGTCAATATATGACCCAGCACTTCCATTCCCAGGTCTATACCCAAAAGAGCTGAAAACAGGTATCTGAACAAAGACTTGTACACAAATATTCATAGCAGCATTAGTCACAATAGCCAAAAGGCAGAAACAACCCAAATGTCCATCAGTGGATGAAGGGATCAACAAAATGTGGTCTATCTACACAATGGAATAGTCAGCAACAAAATGGAATGAAGCACTAACACAGGCTACAACATGGATGAACCACAAAAACACTATGCTAAGTGAAAGAAGTCAGATGCAAAAGATCACATATTATATGATTCCATTTATATAAAATATTCAGAATAAGTAAATCCATAGAGACAGAAAGCTCATCAGTGGTTGCCAGGGGCTGGAGGGAGGAGGGAATGGGGAGTGACTGCTTAATGGGTATCAGATTTCCTTTTGGGGTGATGAAAATGTTCTGGAGCTAGACAGACATGGTGGCTGCACAACATTGTGAGTGTACAAAAGGCTCCTGAATTGTACAATTTTAAATGGTTTAAATGGTGAATTTTATCTCAACGAAAAAGAATCTATATTTAACCCATGACCTGATGGGCTGAAAACAACCCAAGGCTGAAGAAGTCCTGTCAAGATATTCCTATGGCATAAAAATAGGCTCTATCTTAGATCCTATTTGAATCCCATGACTCGTTTCTTTCTTTCTTTCTTTTTTAACCTCTCAAACTTTTCCAGTGTGTCCCAACACCTCCATCCCATCTGCTTCAGTTCAGCCCCTCATCTTGGCTGCCTGGAAGACCCCAGCTTTACTTTCTTACCTGGCATCTTTGCCTCTAGTTTTGTTGCCATCTATGTTGCAACTACAGCAATGTATCTAAATTATGAGTGTAACTATGTTTAAATGACTCCCCATCAGTTACAGGGTAACGTCTAACTTCCTGATACAGGCAAACGTTTCCATAGAACGAGATTGATTTATATGGATGAACAAGGGAAAATGCCCAATAGATATCGTTAACAGAAAAGGCAAGTTACAAGAAAAGCATGATATGGGGGGAAAAAAAGGAAGAAGCAGAAGTTGGAGTCAAGTATCAGCAATGGAGGATGGGGTGGGGGCCGGGATGACGTCAGAAGTCAGAGAATCATATAGCGGGGGCAACGGAGTCCTGTAGAAATAAACGACAGGGATGTAGGAGAGAGTAGAATCAGAGATCAAGTCAGCACTCACCATCTCCCAGAAGTACACCGCCATCTGAGCCCTGTTCAGTAGCAGAGCCCAGAGGAGCAGGTCACTCCAGGGCGCCTGCCCGAGGACAGTGCTCAGCGTGAATTCTGGCGTGGCAGAGTCCAGAAGCAGGCCAGTCTGCAGGCAAGGGAGGCGTGGTGAGGATTGGCTCCGCCCCAGACCCTGCCTGGCCACGCCCCAACCATAGGCCCCACCCCTCGCTATCTGGCCACGCCCCCAACTGACATAGCCACGCCCCCAGGTCCCTCTGCACCTCCCCAACCCAGCCTCGCCTGGTGCTTACGCTCTCCAGGTAGCCATGGTCTGGGTAGGGATCCCCGGCGCCTCCGGCGTGGTACTTTGGCGCGCACGCCTCCCCCAGCAGCATCCGCAGCACCCGCCCCACGTTAGGGGGTTGGGGCTCCCCAGAAGATTTAAGCGCCGAGGTTTTGGTGTTCCCGCCGTGGGAGTGGGACGCCTGGTCCAGAAGGCTGCGGATGAGCGAGTTGGGCGGCGCCGCGCTGTAGAGCTGGGCCACGCGCGTCGGAGTCAGGAAGTGGCCCAGGCTGAGGCCATGGGAGATGAGCAAGCGCACGAACTCCGGCTGGTCATTCAGGAGGGCGTCCATGAGGGAGGCCTCCAGGTGGAAGGACTGGCGGGGCGGGATGAATATGGGAAGAGATGAGCAGAGACAGACAGAAGGCCAGCTGAGGTCAGAGGTTAAGGGCAAGAGATGAGGAAACAGAGCTATAAGTGATGATGAATGGATGGAGGGATGGATGGATGGATGGATGGATGGATGGATGGATGGATGGATGGATGTGGAGAGAGGGAATAAGATGGGCACAGATGGACAATCAGAGATGGATGGACAATTAAGAGAAGGCTGCACAGGCCATAATGGAAGACAGGGCCAAATGTCAGGGAAGGAAGAGAGTTCATCCTCCTGTCAAGATCCCCAACCCCAGGCCCTGACCCCTCACCCTCCATTGGATGTCCCCCCGGAAGAGTTCACTCTGGGCAATGTCCACGCGGTTCCAAGCCACAGCCAAACGCAACTCGTCCAGGTAAGCTGAGGCCTCAGAGCTCCCACAGGCTGAAAGAGTGAGAGGGAGAGGGGGCAAGAAGTCAGGGGGAGGGTGGGAACATCTGATGAATGTCTGTTTTCCTTCTATTTGGGATGCCTGACATTTAAATACCATATCAAGGGGGTATTGTTGGGCAGAGTCTGGGGTCTTTAAGAAGTCAGGCCATTATAAGCATAAGGTCACTTGAGGGAGCAGAGGGCAGGCTAGTGGTTTAGAGCCCCCCAAGAAGAAGGAAAAGGAATCATTTATTCATTTAACGTTTATTGAGGTAGGTTATGGACCAGGCAGTGGGAGGGATGGAGAGAGAAACTGGATACAGTTCTGCCCTGAAGGAGCTCGTTCCAGAAAAATACGTCCCAGAACCACATAACTACCCACAGAGTGACTGGTGCCCTCGGAGGTGAGCATAGGATGTGATTAGGGACCAGGTGAGGTGACAATCACAGAGGTATGGAGTGATCCAAAGGAGGCTCCTAGAAGATGGCATTGAAGTAGGGCTGTTGAAAGACTGGTAGGATTGAAGGTATGCATCCAGGGTGAGAAAAAAAACCTTCAAGGCAACAGAAGCAGCCTGAGCAAAGGCCAGGGGACAGGAAAATAGGGTATGACTGCAAATGTGAGTCACTCTGATTTCCTAAAACTTGGGGGTATTTGTGAGAAGAGAGAGCTGACAGTAGCGGAAAATGAGGTTGGAAAAGATCTGAACGTTAGAGAGATTCCAGAAGACCCTGGAGGTCGTTAAAAAGAGCAGGGAAGAACAAGAGGCCTCTAAAACTTTGATCCAACAATTTAATGGATCCAAACATGTGCAGTCTACAAGGACCTGAAGAGTCTGAAGTATCCAGCGATTCCCAGGAGAAGTAAAGCGAAGTCTAGACACTCCTGGGTCTCAGAACACTTGTGCTGTGGAGTTACTTTTTCCTTCTGTCTCCACTTGCTCCATGTCTATTTCCAAAGCCAAGGAGGGACTTTCTTCTCATTTTGGTTGTTCTAAAAATTGGTATTGCAGAACTAGGTGATCTAGTGGAGTGGAGACGAGCAATGAGCTCTGAGGCAGGTAGACCTGGGTTCCAATCTCAGCTCTGCTGATACCAACTGAATGACTTCAGGAAAGCCACTGAACCTGGGGAGCCTCAGTTTCCTCATCTATAAAATGGGAATGATAATGGTACCCACTTTGTAGTACTGTTATCAATAATAACTGCAGGAAGAAGTTCCAAACCGGGAGGAATTTGTAGCTTGACGAACGTAACCTCTAGGGTTGACAGTTGAGGAAACAGAGGCCCAGAAAGAGGTCGTAACATGCCTCGGACCACACAACCTTATATTTCTTTTCAAAACCCAGAAGCAAATTCAGAGTGGGATTTCTGTGAATCTCCCCTACTTGCCTCACAGTTTCAAGAGAAGGGAAAAAATGACTTATAACATCTTGCTTTATATTCTGCCTTAACATGTCATCATCTATCACCTTGACCTCCCCCAGGTCCTTCATGCTCACCGTGTCCCATACTGAGCTCAGCATCCTTCTCCCAAACCAGTCTTCCCCCATCTCAGGGATGGCCCCTTTGTCCGCTCAGTCAATGAGGCAGACCCCCAGTTGCTGTCATTGTCCCTTCCTTCCCTTCACGTCCCACAGCTCCTCAGTCCCCAAGCCCCATCTCTCCAGCCCCCTGACTCTCTCTGCCTAGCCCCTTACTGTCCCCATGGCCCCAGCTTCATCCTCTCCCACCACCATCACTGCAGTCTCTTCCTTTTCCTCACAGTCTCTCTTCTCCTCTCTAGTCTCCCTGATCCTGATCCCAGAGCATCCTTCTCTACACAGAACTGACCCTGGCCCTCCCATGCCTCTCAGGACAACGTCTCAGTTGAGGTCCTGGGTGGTCTGACCCTGCCCACCTCACTGGCCTCATCTCCAACATTCCCTTCGGGCCGTATGCTTCAAGCCATCCATGTGGGCCTCTTACCTCTCCCCCAAACATGCCCCATGCAGTGGATGTGAGAGTCAGACAGACCTGCATTAAAAGCCTGATCCCTGTTATCTTGTGTGACCTTGGGCAAGTAACTTTCCCCTCTCTGAGCCTCAGTTTCTTCATCTGCAAAATGGGGGAGACAATCCTTGCAGGTAGGAATGGAGGATCAGGGCAAAAATGTCTGCCAACTGCTCAGCACAGTGCCTGGCTCATACTAGACACTTAAGGAGCATTCATTCCCTTCCCCCTTCCCTCCTCGCCTACTGAAACCCCATCCATTCAAGCTCTGTGATCACCGAGCCTGTCCAGCCATCTCTGATTTCCCCAGCAGAGTGTGATCACTTTCAATTCTGCAGGCAACGGACTTATAGCACCATTCCTTAAAACCACATCTTACAGAGCTGCTGTGTTTTCTCCTAGGAGGCTGGTGAGTTAACTTCTGTAAAGTGAATCAGATTTGCCCACTGGTGGTCATCTTCTATTTAAGGCTATGTCCCCACAGGAAATGGAATGATATTAAGAAGAGCTCCTGTTTATTGCCCACCCACCCACCCCTCGCCCCAGGGACCAGGCACTGCTCATAAGTTGCCTCTGAGGCTCTCAACACTCTTGCAAGGTATTATTTCAATTTTTCAGAGAGAGAAACCAAGGCTCAGAGAGAGGAAGTCTCTTTCTCAAGGTCACACAGCAAGGAAGGGGCCAAGCTGGTACTCAAATTCAGCTTTATCTGACTCCAAAGTCAAAAGTAACTGTTCCTTCTGCCACACCAAAGAACATGGTGGATACAATTGGGGTAGGGGCCTGGGGCTAAGAACACATTATAAATTGACACTATGACTCTTGGGAGTTTTTATCTAAGTGGGTTTTGTTCCTGTAAAACTCTTTGGATACCAAAAACAACCCTTCCCACTCACAGCCCCACAGAGCCCCAGGAATCCTCCTTACCACTTATCTATCCCACCTCCCTATCTTACTAAGTCCAAATTCTACTGACGCTTCAAGGCCCAATTTAAAAACGACCTCCTCCTTGAATTTTCTCAGCTACTGACAGTGATTCCTCTCCCATGCTCTTGTCTTAAATTTTACTTAAGGCTATGTCCAAACAACCCTAGTAGGATCTGGTGTCCTTGAGAGCAGGAAATGGGTCTGCTTTAGTCTCTGGAGCCTAGGATGATGTCTGTTGAATGAATAAATGAGCTCCATCCCCAGCCTCTACCACGTGGCCATTATGCTCCCCACCTTGGTTTTCATCCTTCATTCCTCTAAGTTGCCATTTCTAAAGAAATGTCAGGAGTTCCTCACTGGGAGACAGTGCTTTGGTTCATCTCTGACCCCCAACCCCTACTCCTCAGTGCTTAACACACATTGGAGGCACGTAGGAAAGGAAGAAAGGGTGAGTGGGTGAATGAATAGATGGATGGATGGATGGATGGATGGATGGATGGATGGATGGATGGATAGATGGATGGATGGATGGATGATGAGTGGATGGAATTATCAATGGATAGGGGATGGCAAGATGGATGGATGGATAGATGGATGGATGGATGGATGGATGGATGGATGGATGGAAGAATGAAGAACGAATGCAATAATGGGTAGATGGAAGGATGGGAAGATCAATGTACATATTCATGGATGGATCAAACAGAAAGAAAGCAGTGTTGGAACATAATGAAAGTATCCCGGGAAAACTGTCCAAAGAGCATCATGCAAAGCCCCAAGAAACACTAAAAAGGGTAATGATAATAGAAAAGAGATAAAAAGGGGCACAGACCTTGGCTTAGAGAAGATGGATAAAGTGCCCAGGCCAGGAAAGGAGTCCCAAGTTGAGCTGAAAGAGGGGGAGAATTTGGACGTCCAAGTCTTACCCTTGACAAGGGCCTTCAAAACAATGGTCTCAAATTCCTCAGGGCCATCTTCAGTGGAATAGACTGTTAGCAGCTCCTTCCGGGTCATGATTTTCTCCACCTGCAGAATACCAAATTCTGCATCCCCAGCCCAACTCCTCCTGAGCCCTGTCCACAGAGACACAGGAGACCATTCCCCTCCAGGACATAGGAGTCCTGGGCCCCAGCCCCTCCTCCCTCAGACCCAGGAGTCCCGGCTCCCAGCCCCTCCTCCCTCAAATCCACGAGTCTGGGCCCCCATGCCCCTCTTCCCTTGGATCCAGGACTCCCTCAGCACCCTCATCTCTCAAGACCCAGGATCCCGGGTCCCCAGCTCCTCCCATCTCAGGACCCAGAGTTGGGGCCCTAATGTCATACCTGGGCCTGCAGAACCTCAGGGTCCCCTTTGGGGAAGAAACGCTTAATCCAATCTCGAACTTCACGTCTCCTGCCCCCTCCACTCCCTGGAGCCAGAGTGTCTTCCAGGATCTCTGCCAGGCAGTCTGCAGCTCCCCCAGAGCCAGCCACCAGGAGGCAGGGGAGCTGGGCCTGAGTGGCATTCTCTATCCGCTACAGGATAAAGGAGGGAGTCAGGCCAGGGAAGGCAGGTATTCACCCCACCTGGAGTCCACACTCACAGACCCTCCTCCCCTAAGACTCAGGACCCAGGAGTCCAGGCCCCTATACCTTCAGCATCTTCTCATCACCCTCGATCAGGAGGAGGAGGACAGGGATGTCAATTCCAGTCCCTGAGGAGAGAAGAGAGCTGGGGGCTTGGTCACCTCCCATCAGCCTTTGCCAAGGATGGGAGAGAACTACATTTCCCAGGAGTCCCTGGGGCAAACACTGGCTTCTGCCTCTCTCTGTCCTGAGGCTCATGGGAATTGTCATGTCTTTGAGCACATTGGGAGGCGCCAGATTTTGAAGACAGTAATGCTCCACTTCCCAAGGGAGGTAGGGGGCTGGGGGCCTGAACTCCTGGATTCCTGAATGAGGCAGGTATTTATGGTGCAAGTCAATCCTGTAATTGATTAACCACTCAGGAACCAGGAGAGGATGAATGTTCAAACAGAAAATGAAGGAAATAAGGAATAAAAAGGACTATCCAAACACAGTAAAGATATTTATCAAAGCCCAATAGCAAAAGCATATAAGATAGTTTTATAGTAACTCTATTTCCATTAAACTAAGAAACGAGACAATATTACTACTAGTCACATTCAGCCGGGTGTTTTGAGCTAGTGTAATAAAGCAAGAAAAGGAAATGGAATGAAAGATTTTCATTCATTCATTGGAATGAAAACTGGTATTTTTTTTAAGCCGGAAGAGACAAAGGTATCTATTTGAAGAAAACATGATATATATTCTCAGAAAACTGGAGAGACTCCACTCAAAATAAGTAAATATTGGGGCCGGCCCCGTGGCTTAGTGGTTTAGTGCGCGCGCTCCGCTGCTGGCAGCCCGGGTTCGGATCCCGGGTGCACACCGACGCACCGCTTCTCTGGCCATGCTGAGGCCGCGTCCCACATACAGCAACTAGAAGGATGTGCAACTGTGACATACAACTATCTACTGGGGCTTTGGGGGAAAAATAAATAAAATTAAAAAAAAAATAAGTAAATATTAATAAGAGAATTTGGCAAGAGGATTGATGCAAGAAAAATACACAAAAATCAAAAAATTTTCTCCAAACTAGTCATGATATGTATCTTATCCATGTTTAGATAAAAATGATAAAATACTTGGGAATTAATTCATCTAGTACAAGATTTTTATGAGGAAACTGATAATCCTTATTTAAGGACAAGGTCTGAATAAACCGCAAAACTAATACCGTGTCAACCTGTCACAAAGTAACATAAATTCAATATAGTTTGGGGGAAGGGGGAGTAGGAGGAGCTTGGAGGTGTTTTCCTTTTTCTTTAATAGAATAAAATAATTTTAAAATTCATATGGAAGAATAAATAGAGTAGAGCTAAGAAATTTTTGAAGGACACTGAGGGAGAACTTTCCCTAATATGTATTCAAACATCTTATTTATTTATTTATTTATTTGCAGGGAAGGATTCGCCCTGAGCTAACATCTGTTGCCAATCTTTTCTCTTGTGTTTTTCTTCTCCCCCAAGCCCCAAGCATGGTTGTATATCTAGTTGTAAGTCCTTCTAGTTCTTCTACATGAGTCGCTGCCACAGCATGGCTACTGACAGGCGAGTGGTGTGGTTCCGAGACCAGGAAACGAACCCGGGCTGCAGAAGCAGAGAGCATGGAACTTTAACCACTAGGCCAACAGGGCTGGCTCTCAAACGTCTTTAAACTGCTGTAATCAAAATATAGTTTTGGCACAGGAATAGATAGGTAAAAGAGAAAAAGTTTCAGAAACAGATTTCTACGTATAAAGGAACTAAATATATAAAAGTTGAGCTTCAATTCAGCTGGAAAAGGATGGCTTACTTATTAAATGGTCATGACAAAACATAGCTTCCCAACTGAAGAAAAGAAATGCAGACTCTCTACCTCAACACATGTAAAAATCATCTCCAGATGGATGAAAGGTCTAAATATAAGATATTCAAAAGAAAACTTAGAGAGAATATTTGTATAGTGTTGGAGTGGCATGGACTTTTCTAAAAAGACAGGAAACCAAGAGGCTATAAAGGAAACAACAAAAATATCTAATCACATAAAGTGATAGAATTTTTATGGAAGTAGCATAATTAAAGTATGTTTTAAAAATGTTACAATACATCTAACAATCAAAGCATTATTATTGACAGGATACAAAGAATTCCTACAAAGAGATAAGAAAGAAATAACCCAATTCAAAACTGTGCAAACGATATGAATAGACAATTCATAATTGAGGAAATTGGGTTGGCCAACAAAATATATGATTATATCTTTTAACAATGGTTAGATAAGTTAAAAAATCAAGTTAAAAGTGAGGTCACTTTTTACCCATCAGATTGGAAAAAGATTTAAAGCAAGAATATCCAGAGCTGGTTGAGACTAGATGGAAAAGGATGCTCTCAAACATTCTTGATGGGAATGAAAATTGCTACAAACTTTTAGAAAGTTTTCTAGTACTCTCTATTAATACAGACACACAGCAATCTCACTTGGGGAACCTACTGTATAGAATTTATAATTCTTTTTATTGAAGTATAATTGACTTACAATTTTTTTGTGTGTGTGTGAGGAAGTCTGGCCCTGAGCTAACATCTGTGCCCATCTTCCTCCATTTTGTATGTGGGATAGCGCCACAGCATGGCTTGAGAAGTGGTGCATCAGTCCACTGGGATTCGAACCTGCAAACCCTGGGCCACCAAAGCAGAGTGTGTGAAATTAACCACTATGCCACCAGGCCAGCACCTACTGTATAGAATTTAAAACACCTGTATGTAATTATGGACGTCCATACAAAGGTATTTATTCAGCATTGTTTGTAGTGCCACACACTGGTAAAACTTTATATATCCATCAATTGAGAAAATTTTAAATAACAGATGGTACACCCATTACCAAGGAATATCATGCAACTATTAGAAGGAGATCAAAGATAGAGAAGTTTGGACCTAAAGAGATGGTCATAAGAAAGTGTAAGATGTATAAATATAGTATAAAAAAGAAAGAGAGAAACACCAACTAGGTGGAAGTATAATTGTATAGGATTTTATAAGCATACAGAAAGGTATAAAAGGATAAACTCCAAATTGTATAATACTGATTACCCCAATAGAGGGGATTGGAGCTGGGAAAAGAAGATCATTAACTTTTTCTTTATGTATCTTCATATGATTTGATTTGTTCAATGAGCACATATTAAAGCTGCCATAATATATTCTGTTGATTGAAAGAAGCCAGTCTCAAAAGGTCATGTATTATATTATTCCATTTATAGGACCTTCTGGAAAAGAGAAAACTAGAGTGATGGAGAACAGATCAGTGACTACCAAGGGTCTCATACAAAAGGAATGCCTTCATGGTAACTGATCTGTGTCCTGATCATGGAAACACTCACATGGATCACTACATATGCTAAAACTCACAAAACCATACACCCCCCAAAACTGGTCTTACTGTATGACCATTTTAAAAATAAGATTAAAGTTGCCGAAAAACTACATAAAGTTTAAGAATTAAGCGGACACTTTTTTAAACACAGGAAATGTTTACAAAGCAGCAGCTTTTGGTTGAATTGACTTTGTCCACTGGACATTTGTTTCTATTGTATCAATTTCTGCCCTGCCTTTATTATGTCCTTGCTTTTATTTTCCCTAGACTTGATTTGCTGTTCTGTTGCTAGGTTTAAAAAAAAAAAATTTTTTTTAATGATTTTTAGCCTTTATTCTTCTTCTTCTTCTTTTTTTTTTGATATATGCATTTATTTTTTTTTATTTTTATTTTTTTTAAAGATTTTATTTATTTATTTTTCCCCCAAAGCCCCAGCAGATAGTTGTATGTCATAGCTGCACATCCTTCTAGTTGCCGTATGTGGGACGCGGCCTCAGCATGGCCAGAGGAGCAGTGCGTCGGTGCGCACCCGGGATCCGAACCCGGGCCGCCGGCAGCACAGTGCGCACGCTTAACTGCCAAGCCACGGGGCCGGCCCTGATATATGCATTTAAATGTACAAATTTCTTAGCTCAGGGCTGGTTTTCCCCAGCAAAAAGAGGAGGATTGGCATGGGTGTTAGCTCAGGGCTGATCTTCCTCACAAAAAAATAAATAAACAAATAAATAAACAAACAAACAAAGAAGCATTAAAAAATAAATAAATAAATAAAATAAATGTATGAATTTCCCTCTAAGGATTGCATTAGCTGCATCCCACAAGTGTTGGTATGTCATACGTTCATTATCATTCAATTCAAAATATTTCCTAGCTTCTTTTTTTTCTTCTTTGATCCATGGGATATTTACAAACTACAACTCATGCAACGATATGGACGGATCTCACAGAAATAACATCGAATATAAGAAGCCAGACAAAAATGCCCAGATGGTAGGATTCTATTCATATGAAGCAGAAACGCGGTCAGAGCCACTCTGTGCTGTTAGAAGCAGGATAGGGGTGACCCTTGGGTGCTGGGAGGAGGTGTCTGGGGGCTGGAAACATTCTATTTCTTGATCTGGGTGCTGGTTGCATAAGCGGGTTCAGTTTGTTAAAAATTCATCAAGCCGTCCACTTTTGTGTATTTTAGATTTCAAGATAAAGATTTTTTAAAACACAGCAAATGATGGGAGAAGGTGCTTGACCATAGGAAATTCCTCACTGCAACCCCCAAATTTCGACCAGACCAGACCACTGGGATCCTGAGCCTTGGGCGGTGGGCCGCGAGGGGAAGAGGCCACTCACCTCCCAGGCCCGTCTTCTGCTGGGCAATGTAGGACTCGAAGCGCAGGCGGAAACGGTTCTCCCCGCCCAGGCGGCCGTGCGTGCCATCGTCCACCAGAAAGAAGGCTGAGTAGTTGTAGTCCAAGGGAAACTGGACCCCGTCCTTGGGGTCACCGCGCCACCGGTACCTTGCAGGGAACGATCCCTGGGAGACAAGTGGCCAGACCAGGGAGTCTTTCCATCAGGGCCAGGAGGACAGACACCAGGCACTCCTCCTGCAGATCAGGCGTCCGGGCCCCCAGCCCCTCCTCCCTCAGACCCAGGAGTCCATCCCCCAGGCCTTCCTCCCTCAGACCCGGAGTCCGGGCCCCCAGCCCCCTCCTTTTCCAAGACACTGAGTCCCACCTTGGGGTTGATGAGGTTCTCTCTATTATGAACTACACCCCAGGGGGCCACGCCCATGGCCACCACCTTGCTGCCCCCAATGCTGGCCATCTGGTGGTCCCGCACAGCCACACCAACATGCCGGCCAATGCCAGTGTGCAGCCCCCCGGTGACAATCCAGGCCCCTACACAGAGACAGAGAGTGGTGAGGTCCAGAGACACACGGGTGTGTACAGACAGAGAGAGAGCGAATAGGGTGAGACAAAAACCCACACACAGGGATGGCGGGGGAGACAGCATCCCAGAGAAGCGGGGGAGATGGGCAGTCAGCCCCCGCCCAGGAGGCACCGCCCCCCCAAGTCACCTGTGCTCTGGGCAGCCCGCACCAGCCCTCGTCGCAGCAGGTCCTGCAGCCAGGTCTGGAGGGTGGGGCCCCCCGATCCCCCCAACACTGACACCACCAGGTTTGGGGCCCGGAAGCCCCATGTGCGCGTGACCAGACTATAAATTGTAGCTGGATCCGTTCGGTCAGAGAGCCGGAGGAACTGTGGACACATGGGAGGAGGGGACACGGGGAGGGGGACAAAGACACAGAAAGGGACAGAGACCCAGGGAGAAAGGGACAGAGACCCAGAGAGGAGGGGACAGAGACCCAGGGAGAAGGAGACAGAAACCCAGAGAGAGGGGGACAGAGACCCAGAGAGAGGGGGACAGAGACCCAGAGAGAGGGAAACAGACTTAGAGAAGACAGATGGGGTGGAGGGGACAGAGATCCAGGGAAAGGTGAAGACAGGGATGGGCAAATGGGGAGACACAGCATTCAGCTGGGACACCCCCAGACCCTGGCTCGGGGAGCCCCTGAGGCATGCCGCTCCACTCGCCGACCCTGGCCCTGCCCAGACATGCAGGCCTCACATTGCTGGCCTTGTGGCTGGCGCCCAAGAAGTCCAGGTCCCCGTAGGCATCGGTTGGCTTTTCCGTGGTGTGCAAGTCACTGTCCCACACGGTCACCACAGCTGCCCCAAACGCATCCTCCACAGCCACTGATGGGTGCGTACTCCGGGGACACCCACACTGGCACAAGGTCCCCCTGGGGGGAAGGGGATGAGGGAGCATGAACCCCAGGGGTGTCCCCACCGGCCCCCAGCATCCTGTAGAAGTGTGCATACTTCTGCATGCTCCCCAGAAGCAGTCACAGTCCATGCTGCCCCTGGCACTGCCCCTCCCTGGCTCCAACCAGCCTGAAGGAGAGACTGGCGGGGGAGGACAGCCACAGTCACCTTGCCCACCAGAAGGACACCGCCGCGGCTCAAATTAGCCTGAGCAGGCAGGTCTGCAGGGCCCCACCCTCGCTGTTGCCTGCAGGGCCTGAAATGGAACGGTGCAGGGGGCTCAGAGGGGGTGTCCCCACCATCCCCAGTCCAAACAGATGCTATTCACCAGGAAAAGGAAAGTCCACAGAGAGATTCAGAGAGTGTGCACGCGCTAGAGCCTGTGCCATGTGACTCTGGGCAAGGGGCTTCACCTCTCTAAGCCTAAATTTCCTCCTCAGAGGAAAAGATGATAATAACACAGGCTACTTCATGGAACAATGAGGAGCCAATGAAATCACGCCATATTCCCAAAATGAGAACTGCATTCCAGACCCAGAGGGAGAGCCGACTCTGCACAAACTCCACACAAAGCTTTAAATAACCTTGAATAACACAGCGAGAAAGTCATTCCTTTTCTACTTCTGATTATAGTCAAGGAGAGAGGCTCAGCCGGATGCCGGGATCTTTATGGGCTAACACCTTGCTACTCTTTAACAGAGAAAAGCCGGCCTCGGGCTACGAAAACCGGACTGGCAACAGGATCTAGTTAGAAGCTAAATGCCTTTATTTGCTTTTCATTGTAACTGTCTTTTATGGCTAGTTTTTTTTCCTTCTTGTGACAAATGGAACAGGTTTTCCATTTATGGTAATCATATATGAAACCCTTTTCCCCCTAAATAAATGTACAAGTATCCCTGCTATCTAAATGGGATTGGCACCTGAGTCTTAAAGAGCAAGCAACGTGAATTTGGGGAATGAGGGATTTATTTGAAAATGTATCTAGATTTCTTTGGTTCCTGATTCCAGAAAGGATTCATATATCGAGGGAGACCCGCATTTATGTAAACCGAGTGAACTGAGACTTAAGGACCAGTTTTATGGAAAGAATAGCACAGGCGGTACGTGGATGTGGCAAAAGTTGTGAAGACACTAAAAGAATGGCCAGTGGATCCAAACACAGGATGAAGGGAATATACAGCCCAGCTCCTGGCAGAGTGAGCACTACACACCCCTCCTTTCTGAGTCTACCTCCAGGGTCCTGGCATGCCTCAGTTTACCCACTTGATCGTTTCACCCATCTCAACCTCATCCCTGGACCACCTCCTTCCTTTCCATTTACTTCCCACTAGCCCTTCCCAACAAAACTCCTTCATGGAATGTTCCAGAACCTATGCTCTCCAATAGAGTAGCCCCTAGCCACATGGGATTCTTTATATCCAAATAAATTAAAATTAATTACAATGAAAAATTCAGTCTCTCTGCCTACATTTCAAGTGCTCGGGAGCCTCATGTGGCCAGTGGCTGCCATATTGGATGTGGATATGGAACATTCCACCATCGCAGAAAGTTCTGGTGGGTAGCACTGGCAGACTCCCCTTCTGCACTTCTCACTTCCTACCCTCCTTCCTCAGCGTGGCCACTGAAACTGAAATTGTTCTCTGTAAGATCAGCAATTACCTGCGCGTCCCCAAATACAGTGGCCTGTATTCAGGTCTCATCTGACTTTATTTTTATTTATTTATTTATTTTTTTGTGAGGCAGATCAGCCCTGAGCTAACATCCATGCTATTCCTCCTCTTTTTTGCTGAGGAAGACGGGCTCTGAGCTAACATCTCTTGCCAATCCTCCTCCTTTGTTTTTTCCCCCAAAGCCCCAGTAGATAGTTGTATGTCATAGTTACACATCCTTCCAGTTGGTATATGTGGGACGCGGCCTCAGCATGGCCGGAGAAGCGGTGCGTCGGTGCGCGCCCGGGATCCGAACCCGGGCCGCCAGTAGCGGAGTGCACACACTTAAATGCTAAGCCACGGGGCCGGCCCCTCATCTGACTTTATCACAAAGTAGCTGGTCACAGCAAAAAGGCTCCAATTCTAGAGAACCTCTTCCTTGGCAGGGCACACCTGCCCCCACCAGCTGCTCTGTGACTGCCTCATCTGTGGCTTTCTCTTCCTCCGTGCTTCCCTTGAGTGTAGCTTCGCCCCAGAGCAAGGACCACCGGCTTCCTACACAGGTCTCAAACTCGATGCTTCCGGGGGCCAGGCAAGTAATATAAGGGAAAGAAGCATCAGGCGGAAAATAAGCGGGCATGTCACCAGAATCTGTAGAGACATGAGGCACGCGTGTTTGTGTTGAGGCATTCAGAGACAGGTTTTTAAAACTGCTCTTCTATGCAAAAAAAAATTGGCCATAGAACTGCCAGTTTGCAACCTCCCTGAATTTACACATTTTTTTCCCTGTGGCATATCACCTACTTCCACAGTTTCTGTACCATCTACAGCCAGGACTTCTCAAGTCCCAGACCTTTCCCTGAGTCCCAGACCCAGGTCTGCAATGACCCCAGTTCCCCCCAGGCCCCTTCTACGCGCGAAGTCCCACTCTGAGCTTGGCGACATTTCGCAAACCTGCTCATCCTCCTGGGTTCCCCCATCTCGAGGACAACCCCACTGTCTCCCAGACCCCAAATCAGATGTCTGGAGCCATCCTCCTCCCTTCCCCTGTCACTCCCTAAATCCATCGCCCCCCAAGCTCCTGCCCCCATCCCCTCCCCTCTGTGTCCCCACAGCCCTGGTCTGGCTCAGGCCTCTTTGTCTTCCACCTGGACCCTCACCCAGCCTCTTCCCTGGCTTCCCGAACTCCTAGTCATCCTCTCACAGCCCCCAGAGGGTCTTTCCACACCCAGAGTTGACCCTGCCCCTCCTGTGGCTCCCCAGTACCCCAACACAAGGTCCCAGCCCCTTGGGATGGCATTTGAGGCCTGTGAGGCCCATCTGAGGCCTTGCCCTCCTCTGTGGCCTCCTCTCTTGTGACGATGCCCCTTGCACCCTGAACTCTGCTCCATTTTCAAGCCACACCACATTGCCAACAAGAAGCAACTTCAACATGATGGTCTCGCTCCTGGGATCACTGTCCACATGCCTCTCTTGAGCCCATCTCAACTGTCAAACTCCAACTTGTCCTTCAAATGTCACCTCACTGGCCCCTCCTCCTCCAGAAGCCATTAGTGACACCCTGTGTCCCCTCGGCACCCATGGGGTCCGGTGGCGCATCCTTTGCAACTCCCATCTCCTTGCCTCACAGTAAAAAATGTTTTGAGCACTCACTGGTGACAATGTGTATCTGTTTATTCACACATAATTGCATGGGCCGGCCTGGTGGCGTAGCGGTTAAGTGCACACGCTTCACTGCGGCAGCCTGGGGTTCGGATCCCGGGCGCACACCGAGGCACCGCTTGTCAAGCCATGCTGTAGCAGCGTCCCATATGAAGTGGAGGAAGATGGGCACGGATGTTAGCCCAGGGCCAGTGTTCCTCAGCAAAAAAAAAAAAAAAAAAGAGGAGGACTGGCAACAGATGTTAGCTCAAGGCTGATCTTCCTCACCAAAAAAAAATATATATATATATATATAAGCTGCAAGCCACACTGCGCTAGTACATATATAACAAAACACACACTATAATAGGAATGTTGACATTTCCCACACCCCAAAGATTGACTTAAGAACAACGAGAGGGCCAGCCCTGTGGCTTAGCAGTTAAGTGCGCGCGCTCTGCTACTGGCGGCCTGGGTTCGGATCCCGGGTGCGCACCGACGCACCGCTTCTCCGGCCATGCTGAGGCCGCGTCCCACATACAGCAATTAGAAGGATGTGCAGCTATGACATACAACTGTCTACTGGGGCTTTAGGGAAAAAAAAGGAGGCGAATTGGCAATAGTTGTTAGCTCAGAGCCGGTCTCCCTCAGCAAAAAGACGAGGATTAGCATGGATGTTAGCTCAGGGCTGATCTTCCTCACAAAAAAAGAAAAAAAAAAAGAACAACGAGAAAGTCAGAACCCATTGAGACACCATCGCTGAAAGCCGGGAGCTCCTCAAGGGGGGGCAACACCCCGACTGGCTCACACAGCAGCCCCAGCCACCCGGCACAAACACAGGGCCTGTCCACAGTGGTGCCTGCTACCTTCCAGTGGGAATTGCCGATATTTTCCAGAGCTTATTATGTGCCAGGCACTGTTCCAGAAATATTGCAAGCATTAACTTAAGTCTCCCAATAACCCTGGAGATAAGGCCTGCTTTTATGCCCAGATGAGTCCCAGAGAGGCGAAATGATGTGCCCAAAGCCACACGGCACGTGTCCCCGGGGAAATTTGAACTTTGGCGGGGCCTGTGCTGCAGAAAATTATGCCCCGTTGGGAGCGCTGAGTGAAGGTTTCTTGGGTGAATGAATGAATGAATGAATGAAACAGCCAAAAGAGAAAGAGACATAAGGAGACAGAGACGCATAGAAGAGACACGGGGAAGGAAAGAACAGAACGGAGTCCTGGAGCTTTAACAGCGACCCCGAGCGGGAGAATGGGAGCTGGGAAGTGTCCGCGCAGACCCCAACACTCCCGAGGGAGAAGACCACCAGGGAACGCCCTTGGGAGTGTCCGCAGTGAGGACAGGGGAGGGGCTGAGGGGCGGGCCCTCGGGTGAGCGGGGCTAGCGGGCCGGGGACGCTCAGGGGTCCGTCCCGGGGCCAACTCCTCACCCCGGATCTGTGGGGTCCACGATGAACGTCGTGCACGTCTTCTTTCTGAAGATCTTGGGGATCCAGCTCTGGGGACAGGAACAAGGGGTGGGGATGCGGGGGCTCCAATTCAGTCCTGTGGGACACGGAGTCACCCGCCCCGCGCCCCACCCCGGGACCCAGGAGTCCGGGACCCCAGCGCCCTCCTCCCCCAGAGGGGGGAGGGCCCCTCCCAGCTCGACCCCCTCCCAGCTCCCTTCCTACCCATCCCCAAAGACCCAGGAGTCCGGGTCTCCCTACCCCCTCCTTCCTCCGACCCAAGAATCTGGGTCTCCAGCGCCCTCCTCTCTGGAAACCAGGAGGCCAGGCCCCCAGCTCCCTGTTCCCTGAGACCCGGGGGTCCGGCCGCTGTACCTGCTCCTTCTCCGAGCCCACCATGCTGCCGCAGCCGCCGCAACCTATCCGCCTCCTTACATCCCCTCTACCAACTCCGGTTCCAGACACGCCCCGGACAAACCGGATCCGCCACTTCCCAGACCAGCCTGGGGCGGGGCAAGATCTGGGGGGCGGGGAGTCTCGGAGACACGCAGAGACGGAGGCGGGGCAAAGCGCCGGACAGGCTTCAGAGACCCAGAGAGAGGGGGACAGGGACCCAGCGAAAGGGGGACGGAGACCCAAGGGAGGGGGACGGAGATCCAAGGGAGGGGGACAGAGACCCAGAGAGAGGGGGACGGACCAGAGGGAAGGGGACCAGTGCCCAGAGAGAGGGGGACAGAGACCAGAGGGAGGAGGATGGAGACCCAGAGAGAGAGGGACTGGGGCCCAGAGAGATGGACACAGACCCAGAGAGAGGGGAACAGAGATCCAGAGAGAGAGGGGGACAGAGACACAGACAGAGGGGGAAAGAGACCCAGACAGAGAGGGATGGAGACTCAGAGGGAGGGGGACGGAGACTCAGAGAGAAGGGTACAGAGACCCAGAAGCAGGGGGACGGAGATGCAGAGGGGACACAAAAGCTTAGGTGAGGAGCTAGAGATTCAGAAAGGGAGGCACAGAGATCCACAAGAGAGCGGCACATTGACCCAGAGAGAGAGAGAAAGACTTAGGTGAAGTGGGGAGACTCAGAGGTGGGGACAGAGACCCAGAGACAGAGGGACAGCTCCCCAGGGGGAGGTAGAGGGGGATGACAGAGATGGGAAAGGTGGCACATTGACCCTGGAGGAGGGGACACAAGGACTTAAGTGGGAGGCAGAGAACCAAAAAGAGGGGGGAACAGAAATTTGTGGGGGGAGTGTACATTGACCCAGAGACCCAGACAAAGACTTGGGTGAGGGGCAGACACTCAGAGTGGGAGGGGGACGGAATCCTGGGCAGAGGGGACAGGGACCCTGAGAGAGTGGGTGAAGAAACCACCAGAGAGAGGCAGACCCATAAAGAGGGATGGGGACCCAAGAGCGAGGGTGACAGCGACAGAATGAGGAGTGGGAGATATTGGCACAGACAGGCAGGGCCACATGTCTCCTCTCTCTGACATGGCTCTCTCTGACAGGGACAGCTGCGGCTACTGGTAACCTGAGCCCCCCGCCCCCCTTGCTGTATTTATAGCCCTGGCCTGGCCCAGTCCCCTGCCCTCAGATCTGAGTTCCAGGGACAGGAGGTCATGGGTATCCGTGCTGGGAACAGAGTTCCTGTCCTCCCTCTCCAGGGCCTCCATATCAGCATCCACTCTCTCAGCAATGTATCCCATTCTGGCCAGAAACTCCCCCAATCCTTCCATGGCAGGGGTCTCTCTCTCAGATGCGTCCCTCCTGCCCACCCAGGTACCTCAGGCTCCCCCAACTTGGCCAGCTAAAAGTCTAGCTGTTGTCTTTGCAGCTGCCAAACATGAACTTGTTGGCAGTCCAAAGTCAAGTCCCTTGGTCCCCCTCTCCTGGCCAAGGAGAGACCCCTGCACCTACCCCCTACCCAGCAGGGAGGAGGAGCAGGAGGGGAGGGGCAGGCGGGTACTGACCCAGAATAACTCAGGGCTGAGAGTAAATTTAGCCACAGAGAGGGGAGGGGAGAGACCCTATTGGCTGGGAAGTGGGAGGGAGGGCCCGAGAGGGGGGTCAGGGGGCTCCTGAGTCTGCCTCAGAGGGGTGTCCGGAGCCTGGCGGTGAGGGCCAGAGGAAGGCAGACAGGCAGAGGTGGAGAGACCCAGCAAACGAAAGCCACGAGAGAAAGAAAGAGAAGGACCCCCAAAAGGGACAAGGACCCCAACATTCATCCACACAGCCACAGCGGCAGCTGGAGCCAGCCCTGGGAGAAGCTCTGCTCGCTGTCTGTCCCCATGGGCCACCGTGGGTCATGGCTGCACACTTTTCTCCTCTGGGCTGCCGTGGCCAGCCTCCTCCTCCCCCCTGCCATGACCCAGCAGCTGAGAGGGGCTGGGCCGGGCCCCAGCAACTGGAACAACAATGCAGGAGTCCCGGGGCCCCCAGAGGACGTGTCTGGTGAGTTTGGCCATCCTATCCACAGCCATAGGGGCCATGGAGATGAGAACAAGGATGTTTCCACAGAGACTGGGCATCAATTCCAGAGCCACAGAGACCACAAAGAAGCAGACGAATATGTCTCCAGGGAATACGGTCACCGACCCCAGGGCCACAGGTACCAAGGCCATGAGGTCGGAGATGAGAATGTCTCTGAGGAGGAGATCTTCACAGAGCATGCTCGGCAGGCCCACGGGCACAGAGGCCATGGAGATGAAGACGTGGATGATTCAGCCAAGCATGGGCACCACTTCCCCAGCCACGGGAGCCACGGCCATCAAGACGAGGACGAGGATGAAGTTGTGTCCAGTGAGCATCACCATCGTATCGTCAGGCATGTACACCAAGGCCACAGAGGAGAAGAGGATGATGAAGAAGATGAGGAAGAGGGGGGGCTCTCCACTGAGTATGGACACAAGGCCTACAGACACGGAGGCCACAGGAAGGAAGAGGATGAGGATGTCTCAGGTGAACACCACCATCATGTCCCCAGCCAGGGGCACCGAGGGTATGAAGAAGATGATGATGATGATGATGTCTCTACTGAGTACAGACACCCGGCCCACAGGCACCAAGGCCACGGGAAGGAAGAGGATGAAGAGATCTCAGATGAACATCACCATCATGTCCCCAGCCAGGGGCACCGAGGGTATGAAGAAGATGATGATGATGATGATGTCTCTACTGAGTACAGACACCCGGCCCACAGGCACCAAGGCCACGGGAAGGAAGAGGATGAAGAGATCTCAGATGAACATCACCATCATGTCCCCAGCCACGGACACCGAGGCCACAAAGAAGAGGAAGAAGAAGATGAGGATGATAATTATGATGATGATGTCTCCACTGAGTATGAACACCAGGCCCACAGGCATCAGGGCCACGGGAAGGAGGAGGATGAAGATGCCTCAGATGAACACTACCATCATGTCCCCGGCCACGGGCACCGAGGCCATGGAGACATGGAAGATGAGGATGAGTCCACTGAACACTGGCACCAAGTTCCCAGACATACCCACCATGGCCTTGGAGATGAGGAGGAGGAGGAAGAGGAGGACATCACAGTCAAGTTCAGCCACCATGTTGCAAGCCACCAACCCCAAGGCCACAAGAGCTCTGAGGAAGAGGACTTCTCAGGTGAATATAAAACAGCAGTCCCCAGCCATCACCACCACGGAGTCCCCAAGGAGGAAGACGAGGACATCTCTGCCAAGGTTGGCCACCAGGCTCCCAGCCACAGGCAGCAAGGCCACAGAGATGAACGGACTGGCCACAGAGGGTCCATCAAAGAGGAGACTAGCCCCCAGCCCCCAGAACAAACGGGGGTCAAGGATAGAAGCCATTTCAGGGAGAGAGATTCTGAGGAGGAAGAGGAGGAGGAGGGGGAAGAGGACCATGGCTCCCAGGAGGAAGATGATGACGGTTCAGAGCTGGGAGAAGACACCTATCACAGCAGCCTAGAGCAGGAAGATGAGGAAGATGAGGAGGAAGGTCATGGGCTCAGCCTGAGCCAGGAAGAGGAGGAAGAGGAGGAGGAAGAGGAGGAAGAGGTGGAGAGGAGGGAAGAGAGGGCTAAGGTTCAGGCTCCACTGAGCCAAGAGCACCAGGAGGAGGAAGACGAGGAAGAGGAGGGGCTGCAGGAAGACAAGCTCCCCTTCACCATCATCCCCAACCCACTGGCTAGGAAGGAGGTGGCTGGAGGTGCCTCCAGTGAGGAGGAGAGTGATGAGGACACTAGTAAGTGATCTGGCCAGGTGGGGGCGGGGAGGAGGAGAGTCAGCCTAAGTCACTGTTGCCCTCCTGTCCCCACAGGTCCACAGGATGCCCAGGAGTACGGGAACTACCAGCCAGGGTCCTTGTGTAGCTACTGTTCCTTCTGCAATGTATGTCCCCAGCCCAGATCCATCCACCAAGCTGTCCTTAGAATCTGTCCCAGGGCTCTGGGGTACCTTAGGAGGGCTCTGAGCAAAGGAGGGTCAGGGGCAGTTCTGAGTGAACAAAGACACTTCTGGGGCCATGTGGGGGACAGACTGGAGGCCAGAAAACCAGGGAGGAGGTTGGGGCAATGATCCAGGAAAGAGAGTGAGGCCTGAGCTGCACCTGCTGATGTGGGGACAGAGAGGAGGGTCCATGGCAGAGTTGGGGGGCATGTGGGACAGGACTGGGGACTGACAGGCTGTGGGGAGAATAGGGAGAGAGCGGGTGAAGAGAGTACCCGCAGGTCCAGCCCAGAGGGACGGGGGACATGGGGTCACCCTGCAATGGGGAAATGAGAGGGGAGGAAAGCGGGTTTGGGGGAAGATCCTGAACTCAGTGTTGGAGGGATAAGGGTGAGGAGTTGAGGAAATGTCCAGGGGGCGGGGCGGACGGCTGGGAGGAGGCTTCCAAACGGGATTAGGGTTTCCATCTAACCAGGCTCCTCCGGTCCCCAGCGATGCACTGAATGTGAGAACTGTCACTGCGACGAGGAGAACATGGGAGAGCACTGTGACCAGTGCCAGGTGAGACTTCCCCCGGACGCCGGGCTCCACCAGGTCCCAGGATGGCCCAGGACCCTCTGAGCACCCCTCGCCCCAAAGCCAGGCCTCTGCCCTCACACCTGATGCGCCCTTGACTCCACACCCGATCCTGCCTCTGACCTTAACCTCCACCTCTGGCCCCTGTACAGCCCCCGCCTCCATCGTGACTCCGCCCCTAACCACCTCCCAGCTCTCACTCTCTCCCCATCCCCGCCCCCAGCACTGCCAATTCTGCTACCTCTGCCCCCTGGTCTGCGAAACAGTCTGCACTCCAGGTGAGCGTGGGCGGGGCCCAGCGAAGCAAACCCTGGCGGGGCAGGAGCCAATCGGAGGGGTGGGCCCGGAAGGTTGTGGGGCGGGGCTAGGCGGGGAGGCATGGCCAGAGGTGGAAGTCTATGGGTGGAGCGGGGCGAGCACAGAGGGCCAGGGCCTGGACGAAGGGACGGTTGGGGATGGATCCTGAAGCCTAGGAGGCTAGAGCAGGTGGAGGGTTTTGAGGGGTGCGCCTAGAACCTAGTGGGCGGGGCCAAAGCAGGCAGAATTCGAAGGCCCTCGGCTACTGGAGAATGGGGACCCCCAGAGCAAGGAGGAAGGAGAGGGACCTTCAAAGGAGTCCCAATAGAAGGAATCCAGTTTGGAGAAGCAATTAGGAAAAAGGGGGGCAGAGCTAGTTCTGATCCCGGAATGAGTGAAAAGCGGCCCCGTAATTTCGCCCGTGGAGTATCCCTCAAGCCTCTTCTCTCCCACAGGAAGCTACGTCGACTATTTCTCCTCGTCCCTGTACCAGTAAGTGTGTGGAGGGGGGAAGTTTAAGGGCCGTTTAGAGTGGCGCTGTCCCGCTATGAGTTATTGGAGGACCCTGGGACTCCCTTTCCCCGTCGGTAAAATGGGCAAGTTAATGATCTGTAAGCGCCCTGGGGTGAGCCTTGGACACACGCTGTCTAACCTCTGTGTCCTCCTCTCCAGAACCCTGGCGGACATGCTGGCAACTCCGGAACCCTGACCCGGCCGCGCGGCTGCGCGCAGACGTACCTCTCTGGCCCTCCAACCCCCTTCCACGAGCCATATTTATTTCTCTGAATAAACGTGCTTCCCGAAACCCTACTGTCAGGCGTGGGGTCTGGATTCTCAGGGCACCGGGGAACGCAGGTCGGAACTGGGGACTTGAACTCGTGGGTCTGAGGGAGGAGGAGCCTGGACTCCCGGGTCCTGGAGGTGGTTGCTTTCATAAGGTCCTGACAAATAAATCAGTCCACATGGGAGCTTTTTGAAACAGTTCTCTTTACCCGTGATCACTGAGTGACGCCTGGGGCAGGGAGGCCGACCAAGAGTCGGGGGCGAGGGCTCCCCCACCATCCTCCCTTCCCCCACGCCACGTCGCCCAGTGGCATCGTGGAAAGAGGATTCTCCCATGCAAACCCCGGAGCCGGAGGGGAACGGGGAGCGCACTTCTGCGCCCCCTACCCCCGGGGCACGGACACGGCCACAGCACGGGGGGCGGAGGGGCCCCGGGGACACGAGACACTGGGGATGGAGAGGGGGCCCCGCCCGCAGCTGACCCCAGGCACCGGCGACGGGACGCGGCGGGGCGGGGCTGAGCGGCACAGGGGGCGAGGCTTGTAGCAGCGAGTCCCCCCTCCCCTCCTTTCGGACGAAGAAGGAAGACTTGGGCCCCGCGACTGGGGAGGAGACAGGAGAGGGGGCAGCCTCTCCCCGCATGCGGCCCGGGAGGGAAGCCCCGCCCCCTTCCCGCGGGGAAAGGGCCTCCATCTCCCATCGGAAACTGATCAATAAATTACAAAGTAAAGAAAAGGGAGGCGGAAGTTCGGAGCGGGATTTCTTCCCGCCCTCTTCTTTCCCCCTCTCAGTCCAGTTCATGTGGTTTGGTCCAGGCCCAGTCCATGTGTGAGGCGGGGACGCGTGCCCCCCGCTTGTCTGTGCAGATGGTCCAGTCCGCGGCGCTAGCGCCCCCGCCCGCTCTCCCTGGCCAGACCGTACTCTGGGCGGGAGGGGGAAAAGCCCAGCCTCTGGAAGCTTCTTCCATCCGAGTGAGGTCACCTGTATGGACGCCGGGCAGTACGTGCAGCAGTGAAGATCCATTGTGCCGCCCCGAACCCCCAAGATCACCCAGGACAGTCCTCACCTGGAGGTCTACACTAGCAGGAATAGGTCCGGACGGAGACGCCGTCTGCCCGGGAACTCCCAGAACTCTGGCCTGGAGGGAAAGCGAGCAGCGGCTCAGCCTGGAGCATCACACACCCCACCCCGCCCAGATCCTCCCCAGGGTTTATCCGAGCCTCAACCCCAAGCGTCCTCCCTCGGATTTCCCCTCCCGAGACGACAACGATCGCCTGGCTCTACGCCAGTTTCCCTCCGTTTCTCGCAGCCTTGAATTCATCCAAGGTGCCCTAGGTGGCACTGGACGAGCTCATTTCCCACCCTGCAAAGGGGGTGTAGGAGCTGGCACATTGGAGTGGTCCATTTGTCAAGGGTGGGGGAGAAAGGGCTAGGCCACTTCGGAATCTGGAGAGGGAGGCTTCTGGAATGTTGAGTAGGTCCTTGTCCTATCCCGAGAAAGGGGGAGGGAGGAGGGGCTGTTGCATTTGGGAGCCGCCCACCTTCCGGCTGCAGCTTGCGGAGAGGGAGCCCTGGCGAACCCAGGGCCCCTGCAGCGGCCGAACGAAAGTTAGGGGGCAACATCTCAGCTGAGTCAGGGGTTACGCCTCGGAGGTCCTTCTCTCGAAACATTTTCCGCCAGGATGGGGAGCGGCTGAAGGACTTGGCGCTGTCCTAGGTATAGGGGTCCGGCAGCCGGTGAGGGACCAGGCCCCCATTCTGACCCCGCCCCTCCCTTTGACTCCACCCCTTTCCGGCTTTCATCTCTTCTTTAACCCCGCCTCTCTCCTGGCCCCGCCTCCAATCACGACATATTGGCAAAGTCAAGCCCCATCCCTTCAGCTCTGACCCTAGAAGGGCAGCTGGGAGCCGAGCCTCCAGAGCCGCTGCTGCGCCCACCTCGTCCAGCCGCCTGTCTGTGCCTAAGGAAATGAGGTTGCTGAATTCCTTCTCCAGGAGCTGCCGGGCCTGGGGAGGAGAGATGGGAGAGGGGTTGCAGTATGCAGTCTGGGAGGTGGGGATGCCCAGTATGGCCCGGGCCGAGCGGCAGCTCACCTGCGCATTCTGCGTGGGGATCTGCAGGAGCAAGGCCAGGTCGGAGTAGTCGAAGGTCTCGTCCAGGGCGAGCAGCGCCCCGTGCACCCCGCTCTCCGTGAGGTTCGTGGCGAATTCCTTCAGGCCCAGCCCGGACACCCAACCCATGACCCGCTCATTGGACCACACCATCACGTCTGGGGACGGAAGGGACCCTCAGGGCTAGGCCCGTCCAATTTAGCCCATACTTCCACCCCCATTTCCTCTTTCCTGACCACGCCCCCTATGCTGGCTCCACCCCCTAGTTTACGGTAACGCTCCTCTTCCCTGGCTTCCCTCCCCTTCCCTAACCACCCCTCCTCCAGCCCATCCCCAAACCCTCCAGCTGGCTCCAGCCGGATTCTTATCCTCTTCTGCTCACCTCGGATCTGGGTCTGACTTTCTTCCCGCCTCCGCTCCAAGTCCTTCCGGTCATAGTTGAGGCGCTTCAGGCACATGATACCATAATGCAGACTCACCCTGAGCAGCAGGGGAAATCGAGTCACAGATGAGCCTTCACAACCCCAGTGACTGCTACTCCTATTGGGCCCTCCCCATTGGCTGTGGTCTTCTGGGAGATGTCCAGGAGTTGTTCCATTGGGTCAGGTCTATTGATTGCTGGGGTATTTGAAACAGGCAGTTCCTACTGGCTAACCTGGAAGGGGTGTGGGGCCAACTAGCCAAGCTGTCTCAGTATTTGGACTTTTCCTAGTGGACCACCTTATTGGTGGAAGAGACACAACAGTCAGGATTTCCTGAGGATCCAGGCTAAAGAGCCAAAGATAGTCCAAGGAATTTCCCATCCCCAGTCCCAATCGCCAGAAACTCTGCAGGAGTAGGGCTTCCCCTTGGACTGTCCCCATTGGCCAGGCAGCCCCCACCTGTGGAAGCTGTCCACCATCTTGAGTTGGCCCCGGAGCTCCTTCTTGTTAAGATGATCTAACATGCGGGCATCCACCAGCGACTCCATGAAGTAGCTTCGGTATTGGGGCAGCCCCAGGCTGGGCAGCCAGTCGTTCCCCACCCATTCATGGTTCATGTCGCCATATGCCAGGATCTGGGGCCATGGGCAGGTGGAGGAGGGGTCAGGCCCTCTGACCCCTTCCCCTGTATATATGAAAGGATACAGTCCAACCCCCCAATCCAAGGTTGTTCTTTTTCCATTCTATGGCAGGCCAATGGCCCATCTCTGTTCAGGACAATGGACCAGTCCAAAGTTGTCTTCTACCCCTTCATAATGACAGGATAGACTCTTATCTAGTCAAAGAGTGGTCCTTGGACCCACAGCATCTCCATCACCTGTGAACTTGCTGGAATTGCAGAATCTCAGACCCCACCCCAGGCTACTGAATCAAAATCTGCATTCTCACAAGATCCTCAGCTGATCTGAACTGCCCATTAAAGTTTGAGAAGCACTAGTCTAGCACTGTCCCAACTCAGAACAACGGATGAGTACAACACCTGTACTTCCTCAAGTCAGGACAATGGGTTCTTCCAATGGAGCTCTCCCTCCAACAAAGGATAATGGATCCATCACTCTTGCACTGTCCCCAAAATACTGGTCTAACGCTGTATCTCGCCCAGGACAATATTCTGGATCAGCCCAAAGTCCTTCACTCCCGTTAGCATAAGGAAACAATCCATACCTCCCCCTCACTGGAAACAAAGACCCCAGTCCAACATAGTTCCTTCACCTCAAGTGAGTTCATGCCTCCCCCTTCTTGAGAACACAGTGTAGCTCCTCCTCCCCAACTTCTCAGCCTGACATGCAGTCAGTCCTCCCCAAATGCTTTCCCCTTCGCCCCGTACACTGGAACAGTCCCACTTCTCCCTCAACCAGAGGGAGAACGGGTGCTCAGCGTCTCGCTGGTTATAGCAATGGAACAGTCCCTGGAGCCCCCCCAACCCTCGATAATGGAATGGCCCGTGCGCCACGCTAACAATGGAACAGTCCGGGCTTCTACACCACCCCCACCAAGCCACAGTGAGACAGTCCAGAGCCGAGCTCCACGCAGCGCCCCCCCGCGGTGACGATGGAATGCTCCAGCGAGGGTAGGGGCGGGGCTCGGAGAAGGAGGGGCGTCCATGCAGCGTGCACAGCCTGTTCATGCGCCCACGTCCCGCCCCGCGCCCCCTACCTGCTCCCAGCTGATCTCCTTGGTCTCCTGACCCGTTAGTGGGAAGAGGGGAGAGAAGGGGTGGGGTTAAGGGGCAGGTGGAGGAGGGCGGGAGGGACGAACAGACGGACAGACAGCCACAGACTCGCCCCCCGCCACTCCCCAGGGAGAGTTAGTACCACCCCCAAGACCGCCGGCAGGGGGCACTCACAGGCTTGGTCGTGGCCGTAAGTGACTCCATCTCCTCATGTGTCATCCACACGTTTCCTGTGGACTGAGGGGTGGGCAGTGTTATGGAAGGTTGAGAGAGGGCTTCCGGATAGAGGAGGGGGAGAGAATCCTGCTCCTGGAGGCCCAGGCCATGTACATTTATATACATTCTGCTTTCTGGCTCTGAAAGGCCAGTCACTGCTCTGGCCCAGGAGGTGACAAAGACAAGGAATGATCAATTATTGAGCACCTGCTGTGTACCAGGCAAAAGAACATGGGCTTTGGCGTTGGACCAATTCAGGTTTGAGTGGGGACTTTGCTGGGTATTTTGTTGTGTGACCCTGTGCAAATTGTGTCACCTCTGCAACCTCACACAGGTACAGAGTGAGGGTGCAGAATGAGGTGGCAGATACAGCAGTGGGGCAAATGTTTGGGGAGAGGGGGACGTGTATTCACGTTAATTGAGCACCTGCTCCCAACAAGCCCACGAGTTAATAATTCACACAGTGATTCAAACACATGTAGCTCCTCCTGAGTGCCAGGCACAGTTGTAGGGTCTGGGATACACACGGGGAAATTTGAACATAGAATGAACAGTAGATGAAATTAACAATAATGTCAATATTCTTAGGTGTGATAAGGGCATGGTGGCTACATAGGAGAATGTCCTTATTTTTAGAAGTTGCACACTGAAGTAATTTTTCAGGTAACCTATTATGATGTCCACAAATTACATTCAAGTGCTTCAAACACACACACACACACACACACACACACGTATATGTAAATACCAAGTATGGCAAGGAGTTAATTGCTGAATTAGGCATAGGTACACATAATTTTCTGTATGGAATGAAAGGATAAAATATTAGAAGGCAGTAAATGCTATGGGGAAAAATTAGGTGTTAATATCCTGGGGTGATGGGGCGGGTGACTAGTTTAGCTGTTGAGTTAGCGAGGCCTCTTGGAGGTGGTGACATCTGAGCTGAGACCTCAAGGATGAAAAGGAGCCAGGCTGGGGGAAAACAAGGGGTGGGGTGCTGCAAGGAAAGGGAGCAGTAAGTGCCAAGGGGTAGAGTCAGGGAAGGAGGGGCAGGGGCCCCTCATCAAAGGCCTTGTAGGGGACCATACGAATTTGACTTTCTCCCAGGCAGGGGGTCCCTCTGGCTGCAGTGTAGAACACAAACTGAGGGTTGGGGATAGAGGGGAGGCAGGGAGACTCCTCCCCTCGGAGACAGTGTGAGAGACAATGAAGAGCAGGGTGTATGCGACAGAGCTGGAGTGCGCGGGCCCAGGATTGGCTAGTCTGAGGACAAGAGACAGGGCCCCGAGGCAGCAAGGGCTGAGATTGGCCTCTGGACACTCACCGTGCGGGAGGAGGCGGGAGCCGAGGGCGAGGTGAGCGAGACCATCTCCTGGATGGCGAGGCGCAGCTTGAGCCGGTGCAGTGGGTTGCTGATGCCGATCTCGCGCTGGATCTCTGTGTCTGACAAGTTGGCCATGATGGCGCCACTCTTGACGTTGGCCCGGCAGGCGGCCACATACCACGCAGGCATGCCTACCCACAGCTGCACCAGAGGGAGGGAGGGAGGGAGGAAGGACAGAGACAGAGACAGAAGAGAGAAAGAGACGATATCAGGAGAAACAGGAGAGATGGGAGGGAGAAGGAAAGAGAGATGGGAGGGAGAAGGAAAGAGAGGGAGCGAGGGAGACAGAGAGATGGGAAAAGGCAAGTGGGGGAGAAACAGAAAGACATGAGAAAGAGAAGAAACAGATAGGGTGAGGCAAAGAGACATGAGACTCAGAGGGAGAGAAATGAGGAGAGACAGAGAAGGGTAATGCCAGAGTCAAAGGGGAAAGGGAGGAATGGGGAGAGACAGAGATGAGGAGAGACACACAGAGACAAGACAGGCGTGGGGAGAGAAAGGAGCAAAGGACATTGGGAGAGAGACATGGGAAGACGCAGAGACAGAGGCAGAAATATGGGGAATGACAAGAACACAGAGATGAGGAGAGAGGCAGAAAAACAGAGATAGAGAATCCCACAGAGAGAGAGAGACATGGGGAGACACAGAGAGAGACAACAGGAGAACAGGGCCAAGGTGGGCATGGCCAGAGGGACAGGGGCGGAGGGAGAAGGAGAAACAACAACAGGAAGATCAACAGGAAGCCTGACCCCTCTCAGGGCCTCATCCCCCTCCCCCGCTCCCAGCTCTGGGGTAGGGGGATGGCGCTGGGGGGACCAGGCCAGCTCCTAATGGTGGGGCTGTCACAGAGGTGGGATCAAGGGTCAGGGCGTTCCTGGGCCCCAGTACCTCCAGCCAGGAGACCACGGTGGGCCCATCCCAGGCAGCAAAGGGCAGGCCCTGGCGGCAGGCTTCCTCCAGAAGTTCATGCCTAGAGAGAGGAGGCCAGGGCAGGAGCTCTCGGGGTAGAAACCCCCAGCCCTTCTGGATGGCTCCCTTCACCATAACCCCCACCCCCTGCAAAGCACTTTTTATGAATGTAGAAAACATGGCAGAAGGTTAAAAAAAAAATGCACGTCAATCTCTGTAAATCCTCCCCCTCTCCCTCATTAACAGAGAAGAGAAAAAAGAAGGAAAAACTCTAGGAGTTCCCAAGTTCCCAGCCAAGCAAGTTCAGGATCTTAGACATCCCCCTCCCAGCATTTTCTTCTCACTTAGGACCACCAACCTCCCCACCCACAAACACACACTCACTTCCTCTTGTTCCTTCGGTCCTTGTCTCCTGGGCCTGTCAGCTTGGCTAACCCCAGAGGGTCAGTGGCCAATGTCTCGTCTGAGGGTGTTCCAGCTGGAGGCAAGGAGGAACCAAAATTTGGAAAGTCTCATGGGGGAGGCAGAATCTTTCATGCTGAGGGGGGTGAGAAGGATGCCAGGAAAGCAGAGGCCCCAAGGGAGTATAAATGAGGCCACATAAGGGGAGTGATAAAGCCAGACAGGGACCAATGTCACCTCCCAGGCAGTAAATTGGAGACATCCCCAAAATAGGGCTGGATTCACTGGGCTGGCTTTGTCAAGGTGGCAGTGGTGTGCTGGTAAATGTTTAACAGCTGGCTCCCTGGGGAGGGAGGGGATATTCCCTGATTTGCAGCATTTGCCAATTTCCATGGTGTAAATTATCCCACCATGCCAATTTCAAGTCACCGATGTGATGTCAAGCAGCTCACAAATTCCTGAAAATTTATGATTGGCTCTCGCAAGCCAGTACAAGCAGGTTCCAGCATACCAGATGCTCTGCCTTTAGGATGTTCCTCCCTCTGTCTCTATTTAAAAATAAATAAATTAAATAACAAATTCATTTACCACCCCCGCAGTCACTGGGGCAGGCCTCAGAAGGCCCTTTCCTTGTCCCTCTGCCAAGTCCTCTCCCTTCCACATTCTAAATGAATTACCAAATGAATGAAGATATGAATGAATGTCAAGTGAATATATAAAGAAGAAGAAGGAAGGAAGGAGGGAAGGGAGGGAGGGAGGGAAGGAAAAGAAGGTTGGAATCAGGGTACTAACCCAGAGAAGAGCTATCCCGGCCTGGTGGTCCCATCCGCCCCTTCTCCTTCTTGCCAAAGAGACGGCCTATGGATGACTTGATGCTCTTCTTCTTAGGGGCTTTGTGCAGGGAATCTGGGGTGCCCTCACTAGGTGAGCAGGACAGAGTGAGGGCATACCCCATGTGGGATGCCTCTTCTCAGCCCAAGTCTTTATCCACTCTCATCTTATCCTCCCAAGCAAGCCCCATCCCTTGTCCCTGCTGACCTTCCCCGTGAGGGGCCCCCATCTTCCAAGGATGCCGCCTGCAGTGCCAAGGCCTGGGTCATTCTCTCAAGGCGAGCAGAGCGGGGAGTGGGAGGTGGGGTGTCTCCAGGGATGGCTGGCCCTTCCCCTCGTGGGGCCCCAGCTTCCTCCTTGGGGACATGATTCTGGGGACAGAGAGGCAGAGATGCTGGGTTGAGTTGGAGGGGTCGTGTTGGGGACTCATTAGTTGGGATGTCTACTCGGGGGTGTCTGGGATGCCCCTGGTTTGGGGTACCATTTCTGAAGGTAGCCTAGAACAAGTGGGGGTTAGTTGCAGAAACATAAGGCAATGAGTGCATTCAACCTGGAGCTTGACAAGCCCATATTTATAGTATCTTAGCTTCTGGTGTCAGGAGTGGGATCTGCACAGCCTCAAGGAAAGCTAATGAGTCACAGGTTCTGGAAGCAGGAAAGCTGAGTTTAAGGAAATATAATAGAGCTAATATCTCTTATGCCTCCCTAGAGGTCAATTCTGAGGATCTAACGATAGTTCTCAAATATATGTTTAGTCACCGAAACATTAAAAAAAAATCCTATGCAAAAACTTATTGCATAAAACAGGTAAAAGTAGACCAGATCTGACTAAAGTACAAATTAGGGTTCAGGAATCCAGTGGCTCAATCTACCCTTTGCCCTTTGAATGGGAACTTTTAGGGCAAGCTAAGGTTGCTTTTGAAAACCACTGGTGTGAGGGGTTATTGTTGCTGTTTGTTAGGGAGCCCTGTTTCTGACCTCCCTGCCACCCCACCAAGCTGAGGAGACTTCAGAACACTCACAGCTTTGTCGGTGCCCTCACGGGCAGGGCTAGGGGGTGCCAGGCGGGGTGTTGAGTGGCCAGAGCTGGGAGGGGAGGGGCTGGCAAGGGTAGAGGTGGTTAGGGAGGGGGGCAGTGAGCAGCTACTTCGGTAGCGGCCCAGCGAGTCCAGGCCAGAGCCAGACACCCGGCTCTCCAGCTCCTCTGCCCTTTGTTCTGTTGTCTCCTTCTCCTCTTGGATTAGCCTGAGGAGGGAAAGGGGGGAGACTGGGTGAGAGGTCTGAGGCAGACAATGGGAGAGGGAGTCTAGGGATGCCAATGGGCCAGGAAGGCTTGGTGGAGCGAAAAGAATTCTGGGGAAGGCATAAGGAAGTTGGAGGGTCTTGGCAGATTCATGATGGCATCACAGGTTCAAGGGGAGTAAGGGGTCATAATAGGGTTAAGAGGTCATGGAGGGGTTAGGGAGGATGATCAGGGTCTGCATCAGGGAAACTCTGATGATAACAAAGGGATTCTGGAAAATCATAAAGGGATTACTATGGGCAAGAGGTCAAGTTCCAAGGAGGATAGCAAGAGCAAGGTCGTAATAAGATCAGGCTGAGATCGGGGACTCTGAGGTCAACCTAGGATCTGGGAAGGTCATGAAGTCATTTGGTATGTGACAGTCGATGCCTCGAGTCAGAGCGAGTTTGAATCGAAGGTGGTGGTCATGTTGGCATAATTGCTGGGGCCCATGGAGAGTGTGTTATTAGAGAACTGCTAAATAGGGCAATTGCTCGGGAATCAGGGTAGAATTTATGGTGTGGGAGATTCTTAATAAACTGAAGATTCTTGGAATCTAGAGTTGAGGTTCTTTGTTGTTGTTGTTGTTTTTTGTGAGGAAGATTGGCCCTGAGCTAACATCCATGCCAATCCTCCTCTTTTTGCTGAGGAAGACCAGCCCTGGGCTAACATCTGTACCTATCTTCCTCCACTTTATATAGGATGCCACCACAGCATGGCCTGACAAGCGGTGCCTCAGTGCGCGCCGGAGTGCACGCACTTAACTGCTACACCACGGGGCTGGCCCCTAGAGTTGAGGTTCTTGACGTGTTAGGGTGAGACCCTTGGATTTTGGGTTGAGTATCTTGTGCTGTGTTGAGATTCTTAGGGTACTGGGAGACTCTGGATACTGGTTGTGTGAAGCCGTGAAATCCATGGTGTACTGGAGGATTTCTGATATGTTGTTTTGAGAATTTTGGTATTTGCGGATGCAGTCTTAGGTGTATTGGGAAATTGTGAGTACTGGCTGGGGGGATATAAATAGCGAGTTAGAACATAGGAGACTTCTGGGTATGTCCTGGGGGATTCCTGGATGCTGGAGGGAGTGTTGGGCTGGGAGAATTCCCTGAGGATGGTGGGAGAGGAGATGGGCTCAGGCCTATAGATCAGTCTCTAGAGCCAGAAGGATGGCAGGGTTAGCTCAGGCGGGGTGGAGCAGGACCGGGCCAGCACTCACTTGATCTCCTTGTTGATGGCCTCCAGCTGCTCCTGAAGCATGATGGCCAGTGTCTGCACATCGGCCTGCCCACTCGGGGAGAGCAGCTCAGCCCCAAACATTCCCTCTGCTTCCTCCTCGTCTGAGCCATCCAGCTCCCCAGGGAATGGGGGTGGCATGGACCCTGCAGGAGCAGACCGCTCCCACTCCTGTCTCTGTGTGGGGACAGAGGGATGCAAGGTGGGCAGGGGCTGAGGTGAGTACTGGGTCTTCCTTCTCCTCTTCTGACCTTGCCCACCCTCCATGACCCTGTCCGCGCTCCCTGACACTGACTGGCCTCACTGTTGACCCAGTCCCACTTTTCCCAGCCCAGCTTTCTCTCTTGACCCATTTTCTGGACCACCCCCACCACCCATGACTCCGCCCCTTCCCTGATTCTATTGTTTCCCTCACCCAGCCCACTTCCTTTCTTTACCTGGCCCCACCCATTCTAGGATTCTACACCTTGCCCATTGTCCCCCAGCCCCCACTCCTCTCCCCAAGCCATCATTCCTGTAAGGTTCTCACCAGGCAGCAGGACATCCACATGGAGAGACATCCAGGCAAGCAGGGATGATGGAGTTCGTTGTAGGAGAAGAGAAGACAGCGTGGGTCCAGGAGAGCCTGCTACTCAGCCCAACCTCTTTCAGAGCCCCATGTATCGGGCTCCTCTTCCCACTGCTGCCCACCCAAGCCTTGCTCAGTCCAGGCCCCAAAAGTGGCTGCTGACCTTGGAGGGCTCATCCTTGACCCCCGACCAGCGGCCCCTCTTGCCTGCCCGGCCACTGCCAGCCCCATAGGGGTCCAGGTGGGCGCCCGAAGGTAAGGTGGGTGCCTGGGAGTAACGGAGCTCCAGGGCACTGCCAGGGAGAGACCTGTGGGCATGGAGAGACAGTCAGAGACCAAGGGTCAGGAAAAGGAAAGAGAGGTCAGAGGTCACAGGGAAGGGCCTGGGGTCAGGGGACTGGGAGAGATATCTGAAGTCAAAGGTCAGGAAAAGGAGTTTGGGGTCAGGGGTCATGAAGTTAGGGGTTAAAAATAAGAGAGATCTGTGGAAGTCCTAGGAGGACAGGAAGTGGGAATGGGGGAGACCTGGGGATCAGAAAGGATGACCTTGGCCTTGGAGGCTCCAGGGGCAGAGGTGGAGCAGGAAGATTACTGTCACCTGGAGTAGGTGGATGGTGGCCTCCCCCGAAGCTGGTCGATCTCCATCTGCATCCGTTCCATCTCCGCCAAGAGCTGCTCCTGGAGGGAGATGGTTGGAGGTGTCAGGTCAGAATTTGCCCTGCCCCTGAGGAACAGCCCCTCCCAGCCTGGCTGATTCCAACCCAAGTAACGCCTGCTCCATTTCCCTGGTCCTCACCCTCCAGGCTGGCCCCTCCAGGCCCCTCCCTACCTTGTTGAGCAGCAACTCATCCTGAAGCTTCTTCATGTTGGCAATCTCCTCACTCAGTGAGTTCTGTGGGGGACAGGGGTGCAGTGAGAGGGTGGAGCCTAGAAGGGGCATGCCCTGGGGGCTGTAAGTGTCCAGAGAGAGGCCTGAGGGGACCCTAGGGGGAATGAGGTGGGCATGAATGGTGAGCTGGAGGGAGTCGGGGTTGTGGGGTAGAAGATGCATCTGGGGAGGGGAGTCCCTGGGATCCCCAATATTCGGCATCCTGTGTAATCTCAGAGGATGCAGAGTTGGGCCGGATGGCTAGAGACTTGGGGAAAAACCAAGAACTCAGGGTATGGGTGCCCCAGAATTCAGCTTTTGGGGTGTTTAGGTAAAAGAGTGGTCTCGGCAATAGAGTAGAGAAGTCTGTCGAATTTGGGATGCCCAGATTTGGGGAGATCTCAGAAAAGGGATCTTGGGGAAAGGTTTGGGGCCCCAGGATTCTGGCAAGAGGTGGTCCAGGATTCCGGCTTATTGGAGTCCTAGGTTGGGGCGCACCTTCTCCTCCAGCGCGCCCATGCGCTCCTTGAGGTGAAGCTGTAACCGTTCGTTGGACTCGCTCAGCAGCTTGTCCACTGTCTCGGAAAGCCGCTTATTGTGGTCATCGTTCATCTTCTCCCGCTGCCGGGCCTGCCCGAAACAGAGCAGGACAGAGGCGCTCAAGCCCACCCGGCCCAGAGCTCCGCCCCTGCTCTAAGCTCCCGCCCCCAGCCCCGCCCCCTCATCTAAGCTCCTCCCCAAGCCTCAAGGCCCCGCCCTCTCTAGTCCGCCCCCTCACCCGCTGTAGCTCCTGGTTCTTCTCCTCCAACTGAGCCTCCAACTGCCGAAGCCGTTCCTCAAAATTTCCATGACGTTCCTCAGCCTAGTGGATGGAAACCATGGCATCTGACTTTGTCCCACTAGGACCCAGTCAGGCTCCAGCTCCGCCTCCTCCGAGGCTGGGTGCCAGGCTCCTCCCCCACAGGACTCCAGACCCTGCACTTGTGATTCAGGCCCTGCCCCCGTCTATATAGTCTACAGGCCCTGCCCCTTTCTCAGTTCATGTTCCAGGCCACCCATCCTTTCATTCCAGACTAAAGAAGACCCCCTAAACCTCCAGGCCCTGCCCCCATTCCGAGTCCCATCCCTTTGCCACACTCCAGGCCCGGCTCTCTTTCCCAGAATCCAGGTTGAAGGACTATTACCCCTCCAGACTCAAGCCGCGCCTCCTCCAGGCTCCGCGCCCCCCAATCAAGGCCCTGCCCCAGGCCTACCCCCACCTTATTGAGCGCCGCCACGCGCTGGGCCAGCTGCGCCTCTATCTCGGGCAAGGTCTCTGCTTTCTGCAGAGTCTGCTGCAGCTTCTGCTTGGCGTCGTCCAGCCACTCGGCCAGCTGACGGCTCTTCTCTTCACTCTGGGGGAGGACAGAGATGGAGGAGGGGAGGAGCTAGGTCACTCGGGCCACGGCCTCGCCCCCTTCGCTGCTCCCTGGCCACGCCCCCACCTGCCGGTACAGCGACTCCTTGCTGGCCAACTCGTTCTCCAGCTTGTCATTGGCGTCGTGCAGAGACGTGGCCTCGCGCTGGGCACTCAGGTAGCGCTTCTCCAGGGTCGTGATCCGCTCCTCCATATCTTCCCGCTGCGCCAAGGCCTGCAGAGGTAGCAAAGGGCCGTGTGGACTACAGCTCCCAGAGGCCCTGGGGTAACCTAGGCTTAGAATCCCAGGTCAGGCACCCCAGGGTATCAGGGAAATAAAGTCCCCGGCCGTCCGAGCATCAGAATGGTGGCACCACACCTTCAGAGAGCTCCCAGGAATAGCCAACACTGGGTCCCAGAGTTAAACGGTGGTACCACACTTCCTGTGAGCTTCTAGGTCAGTACTGGCTTAGACTCTCCTCGTATGGATGACCCAAGGCCCTTGGGATGGGAAGTCTCCACTCTTCTTGGCCCACTTGCCTCAAAAATCCAAGTCTTGGATTTTTCACCAACTTCTGGCACAGCCCAGGCTTAGAATCACAGAGCAAGTGCTCTAAGGTCTCATGGGAAATGAAGTTCCCTTCCAGGGTCTCATGGGAGATGGACTCTCACCTGGGAGCCCGCATAAGGGGGACTACACTTCCCAACAGGCCCCAGGGCCATCCAGGCTTAAAATCCGAGGTGAAGGCCCCAGTGGATGATGAATAGTCAAGTGCTCACTCTTCTTTCTCATCCACTGCCTTCAAGAGTCCAGGTCCTACATTTCCCAGCAGTCCCTGAGGTATGGGAGTTAGGATCAAGGGGCTCAAGCCAGGAAGAGATGAAATGCAGACCAAGGAATTCAATTTAGAGGTGCCAGAGAATTTCTCAATGATAACGTAATAACTGCGACCAGTTACAGGATGCCTACCACGTATGTACCCCATGCCAACCGTCTCACAAGGACCATAAATCCCATTTTACAGGTGAGGAAACTGAGGCCAGAGAGGAGAAGCCACACAGCTTGTGGACTGAATCCAGGTTCCACCATTCACGAGCTCTGTGACTTTAGGCAATGGGGGAGGGTTGGGGGAAGGGGAGGGACAGAGGGCAGCCCACCAGGGGCTCCGGCCTCACCTCCTTGAGGTCGCGCTGGAGCTTGGCGTTAGCTTCCTCGGCCTTACCCAGCTCGCGGTGGGCGGTGCCCAGCTCCTCCTCCAGCTGGCTCATCTGGCGGCACAACACCGCCAGGCGCTCCCGCAGCTGGCACACCTCCGCACGCTGCCGCTCCAGGGCCTCCTCCAGCTCCGCTGTGCGCCGGTTCGAATCCCCGCCGGGACCCAGGCCGTTGGCAAGGGTCTGGAGTGGAGACAGTGAGGGAGGAAGGGACAGGACTCAGAGTAGGGAACACAGAGATATAGAGAGAATGCAAGGAGAAAGTTAATGGGGGGTAAGGGGAATCACAGATCAGTAAGGGTCATGGAGGTCACAGAAGTTAGTTAGGTGACCTGAATCAAAGGTCAAAGGCCAGTAAGGGTCTTAGGGGTTCAGATGTCCTAGGGTCCATAACGATCATACCAAACATTAAAAGGACCATCACAAAGTCAGGGAGCTGAGTGGAGGTCAAAAGAATGGGGATCAATGAAGAGCAAGGGAGCGAAGGATTTCCACCTCTTACCTGCCCATCCCCATCCTTGCCAGGTTCCTCCAGCCCCGACCGGCGCCTAGACAGCTGCTCTCGAAGGTTCAGAGTCTGGGAATGGGAAAGGGAGATCAGGGCAAAGGGGCTCCCAGAACCCCTAGCTCTACTTTCCACTGGCCCTGGCCCTGCTGGGGCCACCCCCACTTCACAGTCTACCCTTCGACCCGGTGCCCTCATTATCTCTCTCCTTAGCTGCCCACCAGGGAAGTCCACCCTTACTCTTACCTTGGCCTCCTTGTGGCGGTGTCCTCTTTAGCCCTGGCTTTCCTCATCCAACCATTTCCTCCGTAGTCAGTTCTTTCCCTCAGCCCCAGCCCCTGGTTTTCACCTTATTCTCACTCTCACTGGGCAGTGCTCCCCCAGCCCTGACAATGAGTTCCTCCTTAGCAACCCCACCAGTTCTCTCCATAGTCCAACCCCATTGGTCCTCTGCGCTACTCTTGCCCCAGCAGATTCTGGAACCCACCCAATCAACTCTACCGCGTTGGGAGCTCCTTAGTCCCGCCCTCCCTTTCTTGGCCACGCCCCCACCTCCTGATTGCTCAGCTCCAACTCCTCCTCTAGCACTGCCACCCGCTCCAGCGCCATCCGCAGCCGCTCCCGGACCTGGGGATGGGAACAGGATGGAGTGAGATGGAGATCAAACCCAGTCTGGGACGTTTGACCGTGACGCAGAACACCCCTGGGACGGGCCTGATAGGGCAACATTAAGATTCCTCTATCTATAATGGGTGTGCAGCCCCAGCCAGCTACCGAGGTAGCCGCACCCCCTAGTGGCCCCCACCCTAGTTCATTTTTCTATTATCAACCAGTCAGGTCCCAGCCGGCGTCGTCTGTCCCAATCAGAGCCAACGTTCTTCCCACTTAGGACATCCCCAACCAATCACAGCCGGAATCTCTCCCATTCAGTTCAGCCCCAGCCATCCACGGGTTTCCATTCTGCATCTGGGCTCCTCCGATTCTCATACCTTCTCATCCAGGGCCTTGTGGTGCTCGAAAAGGGATTTTAGAGCCTTGAGCACCTCCACCTCGGAAGAGACCCCGCCCGGGGACTGGGCCTGGCGCTTCACCACGGTCATGCGCAGTGATCTCTCGTGCCTGGACACCAGGCACTCCAGGTGTTCCAGGAGAAGCTGCACAGATAGGGCACCGGTCCGAGGAAGAGAGGCAAGGGAAGAGAGGCAACTTTGAGGAAGAGGGTGGTTCAGACAGGTGGGGACAGGGCCAAGGAATGAGTGGTACAGGAAAGAGAAAGCTTACGGAGTTAGGGGAGGGGACATGAAGGAAGGAGGGGACCAGGGGAGACCGGCCAGGTAGTAGGAGCAGGGAGGAGAAGACAGGAGGGCGAGATGGGGAAATAAGATGGGTCAGGTTGCAGCACCTCGAGGTCCCGCCCACCCCACTTAGGCCCCGCCCCCAACACCCCTCACCCGCGTGTTGTTCCGCTCCGCCTTCAGTTCTGCAATCTCTTCCTCCCTCTCCAGCAGCTGCTCCCGACATAAGTTCAGCTCCTTCGTCAGAGCCGCAAACTCCTGTCCAGATGTGGACAGTATCGGAACAATCAGATCAATCCTTTCCCCATCTCCCTTATTCCATAGGCCTGGGAGTTTGAAGGCCCCGCCCCTTCTAGCCGCTCAGGCCCCGCCCATCACCGGCAGCCAACTCCATCCCCGACTCCGCCCTTCCAAGTGCCAAGTCCCGCCCCTTCCGGACCGCCCTCTCCGCGCCTTCCCAGGTCGAGGCCCCGCCTCCCGCAAGCCCCGCCCCGGCCCCGCCCAGACCTGGGGCAGCGCGATGCTGAGCTGGCGCTGCAGCGAGTCCTTCTCGTGGCCCAGCTCGCGCAGCCGCAGCTGCGCCGTAGCCAGCCCGTCCTGCGCCTCGCGCAGAGTCTCGAGCAGGCGCTCGCGCTCCGTGAGCATGGTGACCATGAGGCGCTCCAGCTCGCCGCCTGCCTCGTCCGGGCCCAGCGCCGAGCCCCGCCGGCCATCCTCGCTGATGGTGGGCATCACCTCGCACATCATGGCGGCGGTGCTGGCCTGCGGGTGCGGGGAGGGGATAGGGAACAGAGACCAGCCTCTTCAAGACACAGGCAGAGAAACTGAGGCACCGCCACTCAGACACTACATAGCGGAAACTACGGCGGGGCAACCCAGGCATTGCACAGAAGAAACTGAGGCCCGTCCACTCTGATCATGGCGCAGGATATACTGAAACCCATTGCTCTCAGGAAACCAGGCCTGGCTACCCAGGTGAGAGCATTTGGGGAAACCGAGGTCAGACTCCACCAGGCACTGGAAGCAAATCTAGGCCCAGCCTAGTCAGAGAAACCGAAGCCGGGTGACCCACGCACTGCCTGAGTAAATGTGGAAAAATCAGTCTCTCCCTATTCTGGCCTTGTTGAGAATGCCCCTCAACCCACTGCATGAGAAAACTGAGCCCCAGGTGAGAACCAGGCCTTCAGGAGGCCACAGGACTGGGGTCACAGAATTAGGTCACTGGTATGAGGTTACCTGTATAGTGTCACAGGGATGGTCCTCACCTGCTATGCAGCCCAAGTCCTGCCTCCTTCAATTTCCCAGAATTCTGGACCCCAGCTCCAGAAGAACCTGAAGACCCACTCCACTTGGGGGGGAAAAAAAAAGGCATGGCAGGAGGACATGCTAGCCATCTCCCATGACCTAGGAGTCCAAGATCCACCCCTCTCCTCCCTCAGGTCACAGAGTCTAGGTCCCTGAGTCCCTTACTTCCCCCAGACACAGGAGTCAGAGCCTCCAGCCCCCTCCTCCCCAATCCCAGGAATCAGAGACCACACCCCCTGCTCCCCCAGGACACCAGAGTCTGAGCTTTCAACCTCCAACCTTAGACCCAGAAATCCCAGCCTCAGACCCCTCCTCCCCCAGAACCCAGGAGTCCAGGCCCCCAGGCCCCAGGAGTCCAAGTGCACGAGCAGCAGGCAGAATGAAGCGAGGTCTCCTGAGCCGCTCCCTCTGCACACATCAGGTCAGACGGGTCCAGCTGGCCCGGCCGAAAGCAGGAGGGACTTTCACTCTGTTCCCTCCTTTCCCTCTCTCCCTTCGGGCAGCGGCATAACCGGTTCTGAGAGTAGATAATTCTCAGCCCCACCCAATGTGCAGACTACGTCCAAAGTCTGGGACAAGAGAGAGGAGGTGGCTGGGAGGCTGTACCCTTGGGTCTTTGAAGAGGTGCATCTGGGAATCCAGACTCCTGAATCCCAACATTCAGAGGCCAGATTCAGGAAAATGTTTTATAAGAGGGCAGGCCAGCCTTAGGCCAGAAACCAACATGGTATCTAAAACCCAGAACCTACTTAGGAGACGCAACACAGGATGCTTGAGGGAGGCTGCTCTAGAACTTCAAATTCACTGAGAAGGAAACAAAACACAGCAAGGCTGGGCATAGAATCTAGAAAGCCACTGGCATGAAGACACAGTACAGAATGCAGGCATATAATTCCACATTTACAATGTGCTTCAGGTAAGATCCGCACATAGAACCAGGTCAAGAGGCGTATTCTAGAACCCAGGTCTGGAACCTTGAACCAGCCAAGTGCAGTCAATAACTTAAAGCGTATCTGGGTCACCCCAGAACCCCAAACACAGAGGGGAGCATAATGATATCTAAGAACGTACCTAAGGCAATACCTAAGAAACCTAGTCAGGAGACATAAGCTAGAACTCAGAATCTGCCAGCGATGAAAGTATAACACAAAATATAGCAGGGGTCATATTCTTGGTTTTATCATGTGTCTAGATAATGCTAGAACTCAGAATACAGAAGAAATTCTCTAGAATTCAGAACATGCCCTGGAGGTGAAGAAAAGCCTAGAGAGTAGCAAGGAGTTTGCCTGGAACTTAGAAGTGCCCGGGGAAAGATGCAGAAGGATGCATGCTGGGAATTGAGAATTTACTGGCATAAGGACTGAGCTGGCAAAGGGGGTGGGGATGTTCTGGAAATGAGGACATTTCTAGGCTGAAAACTTCAGAACAGGAAAGAGCCTAGAGCATGATTAGAATGCTGAAGTGGCAGATGGAGGAGGAGGCCCACAATCCACCAGGGGACAAGTTCTAAATTAAGGTCACACTAGGGGAAAGATGGACAGAGAAGGTGGGAATGGATGGTTCTAGAACCTATAATGTGAGGAAAGAAAATGTAATGTAGAACACTTCAGTGGAAATCCTCTAGATTTAAGACTGTAGAATTGGTTGGAACCTAAAATTGGGAAGTGCACTCTAGAATTGATAGCACAATTTGGAGAAAGGCTAGGGCACATAATTGGAACATACACATTCTAGAACTTAGAATGCCCTGGGGAAGATAATGGAATCTAGAACAAAGTCAAGGATGTGGCTGGAACCTAGAAGACACCTAAAATGAAATTTTAGCAGAGAATAAGCAAGGACTGGTTTCTAAAACTTTGGAACATGTCTGAGGAGAGGGTGGGATCAGAATTTGGCTTGGGAGTATTATCTAGATATTTGAATTTACCTGGGAAAAGACACGGCTAGAATTTAGCATCTAGCCTAGAATTTAGGACATGCCTTGGGTGCAGACAGAACAGAGATATTGACTGGGGGTGTTCTAGGATTTAGAAGGAATCTAGAACATGGACCATTGCAAGGGCACATGTTTAAGTAGAAATGTAGAAGATAGCGTGTAGGTTCTAGATCACCTAATGAGCCTAGGCCACAGAACACATCTGGAGGAAGGGATATATGTTTGGCTCATCAGCCTGAGAGTGTACTCAGAGGATGGGACATCACAATATGGGCCTTAGGAGGCAATGGGGTGCTGGAAACATCTCAAGAAGCTGGGTCTCAGGGGAGAGAGTAGAGAAGAGAGTCCCAGGGGGCCCAGTGCCCTGAGATGATATGGGAATGAGGCAGGGGTTTGTCAAGGCCCTCAGAGATGTCAAGTTGATTGGGGGGTCAGAAGGCCGTAGGGACCTGGGTTGCTAAGAGTAAGAGCTAAGGAGCTAGATACCCGGCGGGGGGTGGGGGGGGGCGTGGGGAGGTCAGAGCTGGGGACCTGGACTTCTGAATCCTTGTGGAAGTAAAGGACAGGGGGTTGGGAAGGAGGGCTGGGGCTCATGGCCTCGGTAAAGGCTGGTGGGCAGTACAGATGCTGGGATCTGAACTCCTGGGTCCCTGAGGGATGCAGGACTGGGAACAAGGCATCTAGGTCTCCAAGGTGGAGGGTAGGCAGAAGCCAAAGCATTGCTTTCTGAGTCTCCTGAGACAGGGAGAGAGTCATGGCGCCTGAATCCCTAAGGGAGCAGATGCTGGGGTGCCAGGAGGCTGGGTATATTTGTCTAAGGGGCACAGGGGCTAGTTGAACTGAGTCTCTAAAGGGGACAAAGGCTGGGAAACTGTTCCTAGGTCCTGAGGGGGTGAGGGCTACCAGCTGGGTCCTTTAGCCCCACGGAGGGAGCACTGACAGGGCTCCCAGAGCTGGGTGGGAGCTGGATCCCCGGATGCCGAGGTCCCTAAGGTGGACCAGGCAGGAACATTCAGAAGCCCTGACTCCTCAGGAAGAGATGGGGTCCCAGAAACCTGGGGTGCCGAGGACGGGGCCGGCAGCCTGGCCAGTGGAACCCTGAGGCCCAGGCGCCCTGGTCGGGGAGGGCCCGGGTATCCCCGGGTCAAAGGCGCGGCGGGGGGGATCCCCGCGCCGCCGGCGCCCCCTCTCCGGCGGCGGGAGGAGGAGGTGGGGGAGGCAAGGCTGCCGAGTGCGCTGACCATGGACAGCTCCAGAGCGGGCCTGCGTCCAGGGCGGCTGCCAAGCCGGGCTGGACTGAGGCACGGGGCCGGCTGTTCAAGCCGGAGGGCTGGAGATGGGCAGACGGGGTGCGCGAATGGGGGACTATGCGGACGCGACGGGGGACGGCCGGCCTTCGCCGGGGGAGTCTGACCCAGCCGCGGAGGGTGTCTGGAGCTCCCGGGACGGGGCTGAGGAGGAGGACGTAGGTCCAGAGGGGGTTCCCGGGGCTGCACTGAAATCCAGGCTCCTGGGCCCTGGAGGAGGCGCAAGGCGGCAGTACGCCTGGGATTCTAGGGTTCGGTTGGGGACTCTAAGAGCCAGGAGGGGCACGCCTGGGTCTCTGGGGTTGGGCTGGGAAATCTGGGCTCCGGGGTCCCCGGGGATGGAGAAGGGAATCCAGGATCTCGGGGAGGCCGGGGAAGCTCGGCGAGGGGTCCCCGGGGTGGGCGCTGCCAGGCGGGCCGGGCCGGGGTTCTTACCTACCTGGTCCGCGGCGGCTGCGGGCGGAGCTGGGCTGCAGGAGGGACGTGGGGTGGGGTGGGGGGACCGGGCGGGGCCCCTGGCGGCGGCCGGGGCCCGGATCTGAGGCTCCGGAGCCCTGTCTCCGCTGCTCGCGCGGGCTCCGCGTCTCTTGCTCCGGCTTGGGCGCTGGGGACCCCCCTTCCCCTCACGGTCTCAGCCCTCTACCCCCTAAAATAGCCCCCTGCCCCTGTCACTGTTCAGCCTTTTCCCGCAAGGCCGCAGCCGCCAGATCCAGGGGTGCCCACCAGCGCCCCCCAAATCCCACCTTCCCCCCCAAAAAATTCCTCCTCCCTCCCCCCTCACAGCTCCCGGGCGGTCGTGGCCCCTTTAACAGGAGGCTGACAGACGGTCTTGAGTGGCCAATGGGAAGCGGCGTCGGCGCCGGCCGGCGGCTAAACCCCGCCTCCGCGCTGGCCGGGAGGGGTCTCGCGGGCGGAGAGCGGGAGGCGGGGCTCAAGGCGAGACGGCCAATAGGCGCGCGGCGTGCGGCGGCTGGGGCGGGAGGCGGAGCCCGGCAGGGGGATGATGTCACCTGGAGCGAGTGGCGCTCGGCGTGGAACGTGAGTCGCGATCCTGGATCCAGGCGGCGGCGCGCGCTGGCCCTCGCGCTGCACCGGACAGGAGGGCTGGGCCAGCGGCGAGAAGAGAGGAAAGGCTGGATTTTAAGGCGGGGGCGGCTCCCAGAGACAAGCGCTCGGGTTGGAAGGTGGCATGGGTGCCGGGTCGGCGAGTGCACCTTATTCTGCACCCCCTGCGCCCGCCTCGGGAACTGCACGCGGCACCCCCGCCCCCGCCTCCCACGCAGACGGTAGTACAGCCTGCAGGGCTCCCCCGGCGGACGAGGCTAATGGTTCGTTCCGCCCCGCCCACACAGAGGCCGCCCACTGGCTCCTGCAGCGTTTCAGGACTCCATCCCACCAGCTACGGAGGAAGGGGCTTGGCCTCCGCCCTCTGACTCTCTTAAGGGTAGGGAGCGTTGTCTTCAGTTCTGACCCTGCACGCAGACCCAGACTGGGTTCCAGTCTCTGCCCTTGGACTTGTCCCTAGGAAGCCGGGCAGCCTCTGTCTTCAGACCTGGGGAGAGGTCTCTAACTCTGCTCCCAGACTCTGAAAAGGGCTTCTTCAGCTTCTCTCCCTCCCCTACATCTCAAGACACTCTTAACCCAGGATGCAGGACAGACACACAGACGCTCAATGTGGGTCAAAGATCTTTAAATAAGGAGCGGGTGACAATAAATACTGTACAGGGGAGGGGATGAGGGTCCAGATGTACGGTTTCAGCCTCGAGACTCCAACGACCTGCAAGAAGGGTGAAGAGATGGGAGCCAGGCTCAGGGGAGGGGGCCTGGGGAGGTATGGGAGAGAGCCAGGTCTGGGGTTCCAGAGCCAAAGGCCCAGGGAAGTGGGTGGAGGGATTCCAGAGAGAGGAGGCTCCAGATCTTGGGATAGGAGTGAGCTAGGAGTCCCCAAGGGATTTAGCCAGAACAGCTTGGGGTAAGAACATGGGTCAGAGGTCAAGGGTCAGAATCCCAGGGGAGAGGAGCCAGGGCTGGCAATCAAGGTCCCAGAAATCACTGGCCGGGTTTGGGAGTCTGGAGATAAGGGAGGCCGTGGAGACCCCAGGGGTGTGGTGGCAAAGGGCTCACGAGTAGCTCTGGTGCTGCTGGCGCCGGCGGGCAGAGCGCATCTTCTCGAAACGGGCCTCCATCTCCTCCAGCACACGGGGTGTGTAACGCACCACCAGCTTCACTGAGCCCTGGGCTGCCTTCAGCAGCTCCACTGCCTTCTCATGTTGCTCCCCCTCCACGCTCTGCAGGGTGGTACACAGACAGCTGGGCCTGGGGCCCACCACCCTCACCCAGCCCCAACCCCGGAAATGGGACCATCTGTTGGTGACCTGGGTACCAACCTTGAGATGGCACTGCCTCATGTCCTCATGGGAGAGTCATTAACTCTTGGCTCAGTGTCCTTCCCCAAAACCTTCCAGGTTCTCCATGTCAGGGACAAGCCCCCTATGCCCTCAGTCACTTTTGTGACTAGGCCCATTTTTGTCCCCTCCACCCCCACACACAGCCCACTAATCCACAGCCCCATCCCTCCTGCCCTGACTCCTCCTTCTTTGTCCCCACCACCCTGCTCCCAGCTCAGGCCTCATCCTCTCCACAGTGGATTCTCACTGCAGCCTCCTTCCTGGCCTGGCCTCTAGTCCATCCCCCATGGTGTCCCAAAGAGGTCTTTCTACACCTCTAAGCTGAGCCTATCCCTCCGCTAGTCACAGCCTTCCCATGGCTCCCCAGAATGCTTGAGACAAAGTCCCAGCTTCTCAGGCTGGCACTTAGGCCCTGCATGGCTGGCCCCAACCACCCACCCAGTTATGCCTCCATCTACTCTAACCACAGTGATTTTAATTACCTGCATGCCTCAGACCTCCATCAGAATCAAGCCCTTTCTCTTCAGCTCAGAGGAATGCAGAGTCACAGCCTCTACCTGCAAAACCCTCAGCTAGAAAAACCCTTCTCCACTTTATTTTCTTGGGGAACTCCTACTCATTCTTCAAAACCCAACTCAAATGTTCCTTCCTTGGGGCCGGCCCCGTGGCATAGCGGTTAAGTGCACATGCTCTGCTGCTGGAGGCTCGGTTTGGATCCCGGGCACGCACCAATGCACTGCTTGTCAGGCCATGCCGTGGTGGCGTCCCATATAAAGTGGAGGAAGATGGGCACGATGTTAGCCCAGGACCAGTCTTCTTCAGCAAAAAAAAAAAAGAGGAGGATTGGCATGGATGTTAGCTCAGGGCTGATCTTCCTCACACACACACACAAAAAATGTTCCTTCCTCTACAAAAACTTCCCTTATCTACACTGGTCTGGTGCCACATCCGGGCTCTCACAATGCTTTCTGCTTCCTCATTATTATCTCCCTGGATTAGGACTATTTCAGTCAAAGTTCGTCTCTCTCATCAGAGAGGGAGTCCTTGAATGTAGGAGCTGAGGCCAACTTCTCTCAGGGTCTGCAGCAGTGTCCAGCACAAGGCTGGACATAGAGGCAGTGTTCAGTGTGTGCTGAAGGAATGTCAAAAACAGGGACTATGCGACCTTGGACAGACTGTGACCCCAGCTGGACCTCAGCCCCCCCACTCACCACACCATTCACTGACAGCAGCTGGTCCCCACGCTTGAGGCCTCCGTGGCGGTCAGCCACGCCTCCAGGGATGACACGGGAGATGTAGATGGGCGAGTTCTGCTCCTTGCCCCCCATAATGTTGAAGCCCAGGCCCTCATCTGTCTTGGGCAGCTCCACCACCCTGGGATGTGCATGGCCCTCACTGGCTGTGAAGGCGGCCACCGTGGCCTGGGAGAGAGAAAGCATCAGAGGTGAGGGCCCCTCCATGGCAGGCGAGCAGACTGGGGTGGAGGATCTGGGCCGGAGAGAACAACTGAGGCCAGATCACTTTCCCCAAGCACGGGGCCCCTGCCCCAGCTCCCCACATGCTCACTCTGTAATGACCGTCTGCCCCTTTTAGTTCACTGTGCATGCTTCAGATGTGTCAAAGAGAAAGTCGCCATTTGTTGGGAGTCTTGAATACTCGACACTTGCCAGTCTCGCTTTTTAACACAGAAAAACAAGGCCTGGAAGGAGCTAAGAGCCTCCAGGAAGCAGCAAGAAATAGCATCTAACTTTAGTTCAATAAGATTTCATTGTTTGTTGGGTGTGCGTGCTCCACTACTGGCGGCCCGGGGTTCAGATCCCAGGCGCCCACCGACGCACCACTTGTCTGGACACGCTGAGGCCGCGTCCCACATACAGCAACTAGCAGGATGTGCAACTACGACATACAACTACCTACTGGGGCTTTGGGGAGAAAAAGAGGAAAAACAAAAAAGGAGGAGGATTGGCAATAGATGTGAGCTCAGGGCCAGTCTTCCTCAGCAAAAGAGGAGGATTGACATGGATGTTATTAGCTCAGGGCTGATCTTCCTCACAATAAATAAATAAATAAATAAATAAAATGAAATAAAAAGATTTCAGTGTTTAACGCTATTTCATTGTATAGATGTTTAAGGTTATCTTCTAATCAGGCATGCAGTACTAATTTCTGTTTGTAGTTGCTAAAGATGCCTTTACATAACATTTGTTTAAGTTAAAAATATGAGATTATTTAAAATAAATTATAAATAAGTAATAGTAAGGGTGGTACACAGATTTGGCAAAAATCGTGAAAGAGGAAGGAAACAGCAATAACTGACATTAAGAAGATCCTGAGCTAGATAGACCATGCAGTCCAGTGGATACCATGAGCGATGGAAAGTGGGGGGCGTCTACCTTTGCTGTGGCGTGGGCCCGGATCTCAGCGCTGCCGGTAATGTCCAGCGTGTCATAGAGCTGCTCATATACCTGGTGAGGGCGCAGCAGCATCAGGGAGCCGCCAGCCACACAGCCCCCCGCCCCCCCGCCCCCTTAGAGAGAGGAGTCCAGGCCCCCAGACCCTCCCACCCAAGGATCCACCACGCCCCCGCAGCCCGGAGCCCGAGGAAACTACAACTCCCAGAGAGCCCCGGTGCCGAAGCGCGGGCACCCCAGGGCGGACCGCCCCAGGCGCTGCTGGGAGGCGTAGTCCCCGAGCTTGGGGCGACCAGGAGGAGGACGGCGGCCGCCCGCTCGTGCCCCGGTGCCGCGCAGCTCTCACCTCCCGGATGGCAGAGCAGAAGCGGCTCTGCAGGACGCGCTGGAGGGCCTGCAGCTTCTGCGGAGGCAGCTCCCCGCTGCGCTGGAGCCGCTCAAGCAGCTCCACCGCCCGGGACACGTCTGCGGGGCGGGGGCGGGGCGCGACAGAGTCAGAGACGCGAAGACGCAGAGGCACGGAGAGATGCGGTGGGAGACCAAGTAGGGGCGAGCGCAGACAGACCCCGGGAAGGACAGCCGAGTCCCAGTCGGACACCCGCAGAGTCGCCGGTGGCAAGGGAAAGACTACGGCCAGCTGGGCGCCCTGCGTCCCCAGGATCCCCATACACACACAGGCAGGGGTGTGCAGCGGACGCCCCCTCCCTGGCCCGCTCGCCCACGGACCCTCCCACAACCCTAGATCTCCCGACTCCCGGCGCCCGCCCCGCCCACCCCCGCCTGGTCCGCCCGCCCACCTGCCCGGGCCTTGCCGGGGGAGGGGAGGGGAGCGGGGTCCGGGACGAAGGCTGCGGGCGAGTGGGCAGGGCCCCCTGGCGAGCTTACCCCGCTCCAGCCCCAGCGGCTC